AGGTCACAAACATCAGCAAAGATCCAAACAAGTTTCTCCCTACCTTTTTAAAGGCCACAGAAGATAATGGGCCAAGTCTTGAGACAACGGGAATTTTTTATGAGGTGGTGGGCTTGGTGCATCTAGAGGTCAGAAGATGATCTGATATCCAAGGTCACAAACATCAGCAACCACCCAAACAAGTTTCTTCCCACCTTTTTAAAGGCCACAGAAGATGATTAACCAAGTCTTGAGACACCAGGAATTTCTTGTGAGGTGGTGGGCTTGGTGCACCTGGTAGTCAGGGGTGGTTAGACACCAGAGGTCATAAACATCAGCAAACATCCAAACAACTTTCTCCCCACCATTTTAAAGGCCACAGAAGATGATAGGGTTAGTTTTGGATTGCTAATAATTTTTTGTGATGCTGTATGTTTTCTCCTCCCCCTACATCCACCCATGTTGGCCAAAGATATTGCAAAATTGGTTCAAGACCATGTAGTTACATGACTATGATACATATAGAGCCATTCTGATAAGATTCTAGCCTGCCCAAATAGGGTTATGGCATCCCAATATAGATATTTGGTAGCAAGACATGGCCGGCAGTAAAATGATCATAACTCATGTTCCCGACCACCAACTTCCTTAAGAGTTGGTGCAATAGCATCCCAGTGATATGTTTCATGATCTGAGATAGTCAGAATGGCTAAAGAATGTGGGATGTTATATATAATATATAGCCATAGGGTGTATAGTGGGCTTGATACATCTGGAGGTCAGGGGGTGGTCTGGCTCTGGAGGTCCTATACTGAAGAAAACATGAAAGCAAGTTTATTCCCACTATTTTCAAGGCCACCAAAAATGATGGACCAAGTTTTAAAAGGACAGGAATTTTTTGTGAGGTGGTGGGCTTGATGTACCTGGAGGTTTGGAGTGGCCGGACATCAGAGGTCACAAACATCAGCAAAGATCCAAACAAGTTTCTCCCTACCTTTTTAAAGGCCACAGAAGATAATGGGCCAAGTCTTGAGACAACGGGAATTTTTTATGAGGTGGTGGGCTTGGTGCATCTAGAGGTCAGAAGATGATCTGATATCCAAGGTCACAAACATCAGCAACCACCCAAACAAGTTTCTTCCCACCTTTTTAAAGGCCACAGAAGATGATTAACCAAGTCTTGAGACACCAGGAATTTCTTGTGAGGTGGTGGGCTTGGTGCACCTGGTAGTCAGGGGTGGTTAGACACCAGAGGTCATAAACATCAGCAAACATCCAAACAACTTTCTCCCCACCATTTTAAAGGCCACAGAAGATGATAGGGTTAGTTTTGGATTGCTAATAATTTTTTGTGATGCTGTATGTTTTCTCCTCCCCCTACATCCACCCATGTTGGCCAAAGATATTGCAAAATTGGTTCAAGACCATGTAGTTACATGACTATGATACATATAGAGCCATTCTGATAAGATTCTAGCCTGCCCAAATAGGGTTATGGCATCCCAATATAGATATTTGGTAGCAAGACATGGCCGGCAGTAAAATGATCATAACTCATGTTCCCGACCACCAACTTCCTTAAGAGTTGGTGCAATAGCATCCCAGTGATATGTTTCATGATCTGAGATAGTCAGAATGGCTAAAGAATGTGGGATGTTATATATAATATATAGCCATAGGGTGTATAAAGGCTGCAAGGACAAAATCCGAAGGACCGTGGGAAAGATCCAGATAGACTTCTGGAAAATTCGGAGGATCAGATGAGCGGAGGATCAGAGAATCAGAGGATTGGAACTCTGGCCTAGGGAATTACTCCCTAGGTCTGAGACGGATAATGACTAAGTTGAAGGACTAGAACTTGATATGAGGATGTAGTGTGAAGGCTAGTGTGAGGACTAACATGATATTTAGACTGAGGAACTATGGTACATATACAAGAGTTTATATACTAAGTAACTACTGGAAAGATCAATAAACAAAGGTCTAAGGCTATGTACAAGGCATAAGCAAAACTATCACATGCGAGTCAGAAATAAAGCATAGGTTAATGGATCAGTAAGCATACTGGTGGTAAGTATAACTGAGGTACTGGAAACAAGGAATACCGGATAGGCTATGTATCAAGAAGCTTATCGTATATCAGCTCAGAAATGTATCTATACATCTGATAGGATTGGATTGGACCGGATTGGATGTGGTCTGGATGAGATGTGTGGATATGCAAAATATAACATTAGGGGGATGGGACAAGGGTGAATGATGCAGGCTAGCTGCAAAGGTAAAGGGATCTAGATGTGGATATGCAGATGTGGATGTACAGAGGTGTAGGGATCCAGATGAGTAGAAGACTGCAGGCTAGCTGCAAAGGTAAAGGGATCTAGATGTGGATATGCAGATGTGGATGTACAGAGGTGTAGGGATCCGGATGAGCAGAGGACTGCAGACATAGGAAATCTGAAGGTCCGGATGAGGCGTGGGAATATTATCGGACGTAGGTCCGGAAATATGGGATATGACATTGTTGTAGCATGCCTTGGGGAGCCATTAACATGGGCGTAGCCTTGCAAATAAGCTAAGCTTCAGTTCAAAGACTTAGATGTAAAAAAACACACTACTCATATGGGATTCAATCTGCACATTTCCTTTGGCAGTCATGGTAGCATTACTTTGGCCATACAGCACTGGTCAGGGGAATATATGACAGGATCACTGAGCTAGCCAAAGTCTAACATGAATGTGGCTGGTGCAGGTAATGAGGCATGAAGATCTTGAAGCATTAAATGAAGGTGATCATAGTTGGAATCTTCTGTGAATGTGAGAGAGCACCTGTAAATTAGAATAGTTGCAAACTCGACTCTCCTATATTCATGACATGGAGAAAGCTGAATTTTTGATCATTTGCAAGGAAGAGTTGATGGAGTGATGGCCTGAGAAATTCAAGGACCATAGGATGATACACTGACTCTCTTCCAAACCAGAGGGTGTGGGAAATGCTAATTCTGCCTTCAAGTTGCTTCAAAATGCAGTATTTACACTCTACAGAAGATGGGTGGTCGACAATAGTTTCAAGTTTGAGCATTATTGATGATGTTCCATGTAGAATATACAATGGCCAAGTGGTATATTATAAGTAGATCTCAATCAGCACATGAACAATAAATAACTACAGTGGCTCAAAAAAGTGTTCAATGTTTGTAACTTTTCAAGTAATTGCTTTATTATGAGCCAGGGTGTGGGAATATGACTGAACTGTAGAGGGGTGTCATAAAGCTGTACTTGTTAGCCTCATTGAAGTTCCCTATAGCATGGGAAGCTGATGTCATCATGTGCATATATGGCTATTTTAATTTGGTGACTCATTGAGATACTTTTTTGACTTTCAGTTTGATCGACACAATCTCTATAATTATGATACTTCATGTGACCTCCTGTTGCTCTAATCACTTCTGCCACTCTTCTAGACATGCTATCTATCAATTTGGAGTATTTATTCTTAGCACTCCTTTCTCACTCTGCTGCAACTCTGTCCTACAGCTGAAATAGCCCCTATAATAAATTTTGATAGACTGCAAGCAATTTCTTGAATATTTTTCAGAGATATTCAAAAGGGCTGATGTACAGGGACGATAGAACATTGGACCAGCATAGATCTAGAGCAGTCTAGACCAGCTGTACTACCTTAAGCCTAGAACAGCCTCCTGATCCCCATCTTGGGATCATAGACCCAGAAGCGCCTCATGCTACCTTATGGCGCTTCTTCCCCTTTAAACTGACAGGACGCATGCCACCTCATGCATCATTGACTCATAGGATAAAACAGCCTTATGTACTTATCTTGACACAGATAGATTCGTGGATACAGGCTCCTACCTAACCTTATAGAATATGCCTATATAGCTCAGACACATATCATCGTATTTCTTACTTTGATAATTTTCTAGAACTAGTACAATTCCAGTACTTTGTCATCCATCAGAACTCCTTTTAGAGTAACCTCTAGTCCCTCTGTCTTGACCGCCAGCCGACGCTACCTTAGCAATACATCCATGAGCTCTACAGCTTTATAAGCTGCTGCACTTACCAAGCTTGTTGGAGGATACCTTAGGATTCCCCTGAGCTTAGAACTCATCCTTCCACCTATGCAAGACCACATTCGAGATCAGCTATTCAACCGCGGAAGGCTCAACCTATCCAAGTCGTAACAGTTTGAGGTGGCTTGAAGCTAGCTCAATTCGTTGTTCCCATATTGTTGGCTTGTGCTGGTTTGTGCTGGTCCAGGTGGCTTGCGGACTGGACCGAGTTGCACGTAGGTGACTTGGTTCATGGAGACCACCAAACTGCTGGAAAACCAGTGAGAGCTGAGCCTGTCCAGCCATAGCTAAACCATGACATGACTATCAGCAATGGATACAAAAGACAGACCAGTATCTGAACGTACTCCTAGACGCAGAGGTTCCTGCCAACAGAATATGCTCATGTGTGAGAGCGATGGGGGCTGCAAATGTAGTACTTTGCTTTATGAAGTGTGGGGACATGGTATACTGGTGGTATACAAGAATGCAGCGCTTGGTGTAGGAAAGTAGTGTACGCTTGGAGAGGCGTTCAGCACAAGTTGTGGATATGGCTGCTATGAGGCTACAGATATGTCGGTCTCTACACTGCATTATGACAAACCACGCCGAGTAGGCAATACTGGTGGTACGACTATAAGCTTCTGAACTCGGTGTTTTGCGCCACAAGCATGACATGTTTTCCCACTTTGAGGGGCCTTTACCCTTGTAAGCATGCGACTCATTCCTACCATTTGCAAGCCATAAGAGATTTATTAGAGATCGCATCACGATACATGCCGTTGCGAGCTAGGAAAGTAAAATCCATTATGGTCGAGTGGTAAAGATGGGTCATCATATTGAGATCTTGAGTTCGATTCCTGCCATTGCCAATTTATATTTTTTGAATTTTGCACCATATTTCTGAGCATTATGACTGTATGCGGCTGGGAATGCGACGAGAAGATGACACAAGACCATGGATGGACAGAGCAAGACGAGGAGCACGACAAAGATATGAGGCCAAAATTTCCCGCGGTCTGATGAAAACGCGTCCATGATTTTCGAGTATTTTGCTCATATGTCGCCGGGATCTTGATGCGATGATGTCGTGAGACCATGGATGGAATGACATTGACAAGGAGCATGGCTTTGGACTGGGACAAAAAGTGATTAATAAGCGATGACAAAGGCACGACCCTCACTGAGACGGACGAAACGACCACCCTGAAAGCGACCCCCCCCCCAGTTTGAGAGGGGCAAAGCCACCCCCCCAACACGCCTGAAGCGGCGGGGACGTTTGCGGGCCCCCGTCCGGGGAGTCCCCTCCCCATATTCACTGTAAAAACACATGTGACGTCCGAAGGTGACCAGTACTCTTGTAAAGGACATAATCAGTCATATAGAGGGAAATACAGAACGGTCATTGACAGGATGAAGCCATGAATGGATTTTTCAACAGTGACGTGCGCACAGCGCCCTGCCAGGGGAACCCAAATTCCCGAAGACAATGATACGTAACTAAGCCAATTTTTTCTCATACAGTCCAAGCTCGACTAGGATTGCGAGAGGACTCATAAATAACACGGCGAATGACTTGTTCTGATCGCTGTCGACGTGCACGCATCGCGAGTGAGGATGTTGGATTGTCTGGGAGAGAAGTGATACAAGCGTGTGCGGAGAACTGCATTCCGAGGCGTTCCAGATTGTCCTTATTCTTCGTCCACCACGCATCCATGTCCTTGGGATAATCTTCCAAGGAGGTAACCACAGCGGCGACCGGTACGCCACCTGCCACAGTGGCTGTGGAGCCAACGATGTCAGTGAAGAATTTATAATCCTTGATCAGTGCTCTCTGGGCCCTCGATCCCCTCATGCAATATAAAAGAAGGTAGACTCCGTCATCTCTGTACAGCTTCTTGTATGCCTTTTTCAGGCGCCATTTTGTAAAAAGGGCCTGGAAAAAACCCATTGATTCGATCGAGGAAACTTCCCAAAGTTTGAATCGGCGATCTGCAAGACCAACTTCATGAGAGGTGTGCTGCAGTGTGCAGGTTGCTGCGTCTGGCGGCGTCTGTGCAGCATCCCATCCCATAATCAAGTTGATGATGGCGCTCTTTCCAACTCCGGTCTCCCCGAAAAGTAACACATTCAAAGGACCTGCATCTGACTTGACCGCGTGGAAGAGTCAGTACACATAAAAACAATGCACCACTAGATTCTCACCAGCGACGAGGTTGTAGAGAAGAGATGATGTATTAAAGGACTAGAGGGAACGGGATTGGGTAACGACGGTGCAGTAGAAATCCTAGACTGGTTGGTAAACATCTAAGCCAAATTACTTCAATCGCAAGGTGGCCAGTTCATACCGGCTCCGCGACTAAATATTTATTTTGATGGTTTTCTTGTACCCCGCCAACAAGGACATACTATCAGAGTCAGACACCCTACTCCTACATGACGAGATAAGTTATGAGCTTACATCCTGTTTCAAAGCCTCTAGCTCCCTCGTCATGAATTTCATAGCCGTCAGGGCACATGGACGAGCAGGTGGATCAATTGACCAACACTGCTCGATATGACCCCAGCGTGCGTCTGTAACGTCAGACGTCGCCTCGGATACCTCAGGACGCAGGACATCCTCTCCATTTTGTATTTTTTGAATGACTTTGTACTCGTCAATGTTATGCCAAGGAATAATCAGAGTCAACAACTGGGATGAATGATACATTAAATGTAATTTTGTGGACTCAAAACGCTTACACTTACATGGAACATGACACGACCAAAAGAATACATGTCGTTCTGCGTGGTCGGTTTAATATCAGAAGGGGGATCATGTGACCCGAGCAACTCAGGCGCCGTCCACCTGACTGCACCAGACCGAACAGTTGATGCTTCGATTTGGCACATTTTTAAATGTCCGCAGAGGACATTTGACAAACTGAAGTCCGTTAGGCAAGCCTTGTATTCTCCTTCCTTGAGATCTACCAAAATATTAGACTGCGTTGTTTAGTGAATGAATGCAATTTAATATAGAAAGGATGAGCTCACGCTCGTAATGTCACCGTGGACAATAGGAAAAGAGTGAACTAAGGGCCAATTTATTTAGTTGAGATAAGGCGACCGTGAAGGGAATACAAACGATAGTGGAGCCCAGATGCTATGCCGTGAAGCTAGGATAATTCAGTTGAGGTCCATTGCAGCTAAACAGGCCTAAGTTACCAGCTTCAATTTGGATTTGATCGTTAGTGTAGCACCCTGTTCTCTGATAAGACGGGACAGCGTATCGTGCGGGAACCACTGGGAGACAAGGGCTGTGGTTGGCCCGAACTCCTCTGTCGTTCCATAAAGTGTGACGATATTGTCATGGACGAGGTGTGCCCATATTGCAGCTTCTCGTTGAAACATCTAGCGAATCCACATAAAATGGTGTTTAAAACACAAAAAATAGACCCTCACTCTTAATTCCTGCTTTGAGATGGTGGGATCCGTGTGGTGCCTGAAGGTTTTTACTGCGACCTGTAGTGCGATAATGGACAGGCTGATCAGCAAGTGACGCCAGCGCTACCCACTGGCCAGACCTTCTTGACAGGGCCCGACGGTTTTCTCCATTCACATCTGTAAACGTTTGCGAATGCACCACTGGCAACGTAACCCTTCATTCCACAGAAGATCTGACCCGTCAGATCTTCTGCTAGTGCCAGTTGTATTTCAGGACTAAAAAAGGGAGCTGAATTAATGAAGACTTGTTTCAGTATGAACACCCTACAGAGGTGGAAGTTCCGACGTGGATGCCTAAGTAAAATATATCAGGAACCCACACTGATTGAGATACCGACCTGTGCAAACCTGTGAATCGTCATACCTAGACCGGGTGTTGCACTCAGGGACTTTTTTGTTCCCCGTGGACTGCCCTGCGTCCTGTTGACTCGAGGTGCAGGGTTCGTTATAGACAGTGTCGGAACGCGCTGCTGTACTAGTAGTTACTGTTCTGCCCCCAGGAAGTCCTCTCTGGGACCCTGAGAATGTGAAAAGATTGACTGTCAAATTACGTCGACCCCTTCTATTCTGTATAGGCTCAGATTTCGAGCGTATGATATGCGACGGCTGAGGTGGGTTGGACATTTGGAGCGTTGTCCGTCGAGTGGTGAGTCGGAGTCTAAACCATGAGAGGGCACTATCTCATATACTGGAAACTTAGAATTTACATAAGCTCCGCATGGGGTCATCCTGTGTCGTCGTGCATGCCCATTGCCCAATGATATTATTGGCATCCGCTCAACATCCGCTAGTAAGTAGCCTGAAGCTAGCGCCTATAAATTAATGGAATTTAGAACTCCTCTAAAAAGTCACTAGCATGGACGACGACTGATATACACAGCACAGACATTTTTGGCATTAAATGGCAAGAGCAGTGGTCGCGAACGATGTCGATTAAGTGAAGTACCTACTTAGGATTTACGCTTGAAAGTTTGTTGCAGAGGTGTGACACTCACTTGATGTTACGGTAGGGCTTGAAACTGAGGACAAATGTCGGATGGCACGTAGCCAGTGCAGTCGGTAATTATGACTGGTTGGGAGCATTCTTGCTGAAACGGTGATGGCGAACTGCCTCGTGTCTTCGGCGTCTATGGAAACAAGGAAGGTTAGCGCGGTGAAGTAACAAAAATGCACAATACACGCACCTCTGTAACTTAGAGAAAGACGCCCACAATCCCTCGGCCGTGCTCAACACCATCAACATCCAGTAAAATGTCACAGCTCATTCCAAGCACCACACCCATTCGAACTTTTGAAGATCACAAGGACGTCGTAAGGGCAGTCGCAGTGTTCCCCGATAAACGACGAATGATTACTGGCTCATACGACAAGACACTTCGTCTTTGGGACTTGGAGACAGGTGTTGTGTGGAAGAAGATGGAAGGGCATAGCAGTGGGGTGTTTGCATTGACGATATCGCGAGATGGTAAAATAATAGCAAGCGGTGATACAAATGGAGAGGTCATCGCCTGGCACGGTGAAACTGGCGAATCCATCACCCAACCCATCAAAGCCTACCCCGGGGCCAATTGGATCGATTCTTTGGATTTTTCTCCAGACGGAACGGTGTTGGCCATTGGTTCATCGGACTACACAGTGAGGTTTTGGTGTACCAAAACGTGGCAAATGCAAGGAGATCCAATTAAGTGTGGCAGTCTTGTCAACTGCGTTCGACATTCGCCTTCTGGTGAACTTCTTGCCATCGCAACCTTCAATATCCAAATTTATAATACAGGCACAAGGGAACGCGTCGCATATTTGCCAGATGACACTGGCTTATGGAACATGTCACTCGCGTGGACACCCGATGGCACACGCCTTCTTTTAGGAGGCAGTTTATACATATTGGAGTGGGACACATCAACCTGGCAGCAGGTCGATCGTCCCTGGGAAGGCCACACTGATTATATCTATGCCATTGCCATTCATCCCGCTGGCACCCTCATCGCTTCTGCATCTGAAGACAATCATGTCCGTCTCTGGCGGCTCTCAGATCAACGAACCATCGCCGTCTTCCAGCATTCAGCTAAGCTGAAATGTGTCACGTTCTCTGTGGACGGCCAGCGCATCCTCAGCGGAGGTACAGATAACAAGGTCTTAGAATGGGCAGTACCCAGCGAGGGCAATTCAAAGGCGAGTTTCCATTTCTGACTCTCATTATGCAATTCGAGCATCCTTCGTACAGATCCTTGACATTACAACAGCCCGCGATGCATGTATAACTGGGGATTTGTCTATCGCTGAAGAGCTCCTCACCCAAGAGATCTACACCAACGCCGACGACTTTACTTCATATGCCAATCGTTCGTTCATTATGGCCCGGAAGCACAACTTGGACAATGCCCTTGAGGATGCAATCAAGGTGAGATGGACCCACCCATCATTGACATCTTACGGAAGGCTGACATTCATCCGGTATATAGTCAATCGACATTAAACCATCATTGATTGGGTTTATCTCCAAAGGCATCGCCCTGTGCGGAAAAGGTCACGTCCAAGAAGCAAGGGTAGCGTTCGACGTTGCATCCACGCTCACGAACCAAGATTCAGAAACCAACCAATTTCTTCTCTTGATCAAGGTACATTTAATTCGTATCACATGCTATCAGCTTCATCCGGTATTCCAGGCCATAGCACTCTTCAACGCAGATCAACATGAGGAAGCAATGCTGCTCATCAAAGACCGAGCTGCCGCTTGTCCGAATGTCGATCCTCTTGCGCGTCGTGTCGTGGAAGTGAGTGTCATGTGGCCACACTTGGTCATCAATCCTGATATTTTCAACTTACACAATAGACATATCTACGTGTTCAACTCGGAATCAAAGCTTTCGATAGCGCGCATCACGACGAAGCCGCTGATCACTTCACTGCCGCTGTCAACTCAGACGCTTTCTCATCGAAATACATTTATTTCGCATACCAGGACTTGACCGTGGTCCGTCGACATGTGATGCATACATAATGTTTTTCATAACCGAATCCTTTTTGCAGCTCTTCGGCTGGGATCTCGAGTCCTTGCTGCTCACTACACACCAGAAACGGTGCCAGGCTTTCCTTTCGGCAGGTAAACCCGATGAAGCCCTCGAAGCACACAAATACATGATGGATGCCATCGACGACATTACGAAGGCCAACTGTCTTAATTGGTCCAACGGCAAGTCTTCCGTTATGCCACCCATGACTATCATGCTCACCCGCGTGTCACTCAGAGTTCAAGGAGAAATGCAGCACGCTCGCTGCGCATAACGAATGTATTCTTGGTGTATGTACCTCTTTCCTTACCTCTTTCGATACTGACTATTATGCAGGCAGAGATCCCCGGCCAAGATGACGATGACCATGATGCAGAACCCAATTTCTTCTATGGAACGCATCAAGTGTGTGCAAGGGCGTATCCTTCTATTCTCTCTCACATAGTTCATTACAGTATTCTCAAATTTCCCGGCCGAGACTTCGACAGCGAGCTGGGCGCCTTGGGCACCTCGAAAGACTGAGGCTCGCTATGACGAGAAGGCCTCAGTCAGTTCCTGCACCTGCACTGCCCGCCACCTCACCACTAGTCGCCACCACCACCTTCAAAACTCACCTACGACGCCTATTTACCCTACCACTCCATCATGCAACGCCACCTGTTGTCGACGTTCCTTTTGCCCAGGGTCGACAGGTGCGCTCTGTTATTTTCGTGACTGTTTCTTGGGTGTCTCATATTCAAATCTCCAGCGTAATGCTGCAGCGGGTGCTCCTGGGAGTGAACACTCCTTGATACGTGATGAAGACCTTCCTCCACAGGATCCCAATACGCAACCGCAACATCAACCAGTAGCAGTTCAGGTAGGCGAACATGGAGGCGGCCTGTCCTGTTGCCGTTAGAAGCATTGGTGAATGTCCATCGGTGTATCGTTCATTTTGTCATGATATCCACATTGGCTTGAAGTGGTACTTTATCGATATCCTTTAGCTCACTTTTTGTCCTCCTCCGAGTCTATCGTTGATTGTAAACCTTGATTCCTTCATATATAGATCTTCACTTGCGCACAAGTTACTGAATTTCAGATATCGTGCTCATGTGCAACCACAGGGCCGTTCCACATTCAAGGATGTCTCGTTGACTGTACATAGTACTGGCAGGGCGTGCAGCGGTTCATTCAAGTCTTCGCGGGCACCATTTTACACATCACCTCGTATCGGCTCTGCTAGTCTTACCTAGAAAATTTGCGTTATCGAGAACATTTCTAGACGGTTTCTAGATATTCTTCGTGTGACAACTAGACGTGATCTGGACTGGCCACCGGCTGCTCAGATGGGTCGTGCTCCAACCGGTGCATAAACTTGACTTCGCCGAATTCGCTGTCATAGTGTGGGGCAGAGATACTTGGGCCCTGGGGTCAGTTTGCCGGTTACAACCGGCAGGTAGACCTAACTCTTGTCCGCGGCCAAGTTACATCTCCACGACGCAAGCCTCGAGTTGTGCCATGTTGTGCCATCATCATCCGGGTCTCTTGATGTTCTTTGCCATTTCCCCGTCGACACATGATGCATCGATGAGCGCTCAGCAGTGAGCCACAGCCCGCGCCTGCCACATCATGGTCTTAGCTGACTCTGCTCAACGATTGATCGATCTTCCCGCTCAGAGTTCAACCTCCCATCCCCTCATATTTCTCGCAGCTTGATACAATTGCTGCAAGGGCCGGAAGGTCTGAGGTTTGTGAGAGCTGAGCCATGGACGACAGTATTAGTATTCAGTTGCCTATCAATTGCTTGCACCATTGCGCTTTGTTTGAAATCAGGAGATCGGGAACGTCTTGATGGAGTGTACTGGAGTTTCGCTTACCGGGAGATCACTCCTCGAGTCAAAGTGTTACTGGATGAGTGTACTTTCTCCATTATAGGTCAGAATATCAATTCGATGAGGTGATGGATATCGCTGGTGACTCCTGTATTTTGCGATGTTCTAGTTCCATTGGCAAGAGGAATTATGCCAGTTAACGCAACCTACTTAAAGGAATCAACAATATTGTTACCTTTTCTGAGGCAAAGCTGCCCCCACAAGGCGCGTGAAGCTGGCAGTCGGTTGGCCTTCATCCGCACTAGTGACGACCGCTACATTCCCTGAGCGCTGTCGTTCTTGTCGAAGGAAGGCCATTTGTATTCAGTTTATATCGTGGAAACTGGTCAGACGAAGGCGTTTGTAATACAGTGGCTGGAGCGTACTAAGAATAGAGACGCGACTGTCACCTGTGTTACACCTGTGACTCATAAATCAGCGCTGAAATCCGGGAGGGTGTCGTCGACTTGCTTAACGTAGTCGAGAATCTCTGACCCGTGCACAAATAACGTTGCTCGTTCCACCGCCGCTCTATGTTATTCCATCGCCTGACAATCAACCGACGCGAAATCAGGTTAACAGCTCGTACGCACCCCGAAAATTCTACAAGTATTTTCAGTTCTGGAGTCAAGAGTCAAGACAATACAGCACTGGGAACGATGACAAAATCACGATCAAAGTTATTTTTCCATTTGGCGAGATCCGATCTGCCAAAATCTCGAGGACAGTACGGGTGGACGCACTCCTTGCCGAGGCTGGTGATGTATTGGGACGTCATCCCACCAGTATCAAGGCGGTCTGGGGTGGGTCGATAATGCGCGAGGACCGGAGTATTGGATCATACAACATCGAGGATGGTGACTCCATCAATCTTCAGGCGGGGCCGTTGTCTTTTGCGAAGCCAGTCATTTATCTGCACTCGCCCTCCGATATCGATGTCTCTGTCAAGCTCTCCCTCATTCCGGAGTGGAGCCTCTCTGTCATCTATCCCGTTGTTCCCATGGATTATAGACAGCATTTAGAATGGAACGTCCGTACTACCCATCAAGATGGGAGTCTGACTGAACATAACTCCAGTCTACACGTGTCTTACTTGTTCTGGGAGGCAAAGTAAGTCCCTCGATGATATAAAAATCATTCTCCTAACCTGTATTCCTCCTCGCAGAACGAATTTGCAAGCATTTCCACGTTCACCAGCATCCAAACCGCCACCAGTAGATACATTCAATCCAATAACCAACAGTCTCGATGATATGGATTCAATCGTCATCCCAGTGTACAAAGCCCCTGTATACCTCGATAAATCGCTCAAGGTTTTGGGACTTCACACTGAAGCTAGAACATCATTCATAACGTGCGTACATATGCGCTACCTCAGACTCTCAAATCATGAACACGTCACTCACACTGCCATGGTAGCTACTGGCTACCGTCTATCCTCAAGCGGCATACGAACACGCCGCTTCTTCAAACATTTCTCCGCAACCTGACGTCGTGACTCGCGTATGCATGTTGTTCAAAGGTATCTGTAAGGAGCACCTAGCAAATTGGCCTAATGCACAAATGCAAGCAGGGAACGACGTTGTTTGGTGGGTGGATGTAGTTGGTGTTGATCCTACAAGAGCTGGTGATGTGACTTTGTTCAGGGTGTTGGAATGGGGCGGGGTGGAGGTTCTCATTTGATATTCTATCGGATTACCACCCAATTCGTGTAGGTGTTGCCGCGTTTTATCTTGATCAGTTTTTGCATCCGATATTGCGCAGCCAACATCAAGGGACTTACTTCTGTATATATACCACTTGTCACTAGTACTGGTGGTACTTTGCTTGGGAGTGCTGCTATGCGCTATGCACAGCGTACAGATGTGTATGCACCCGCTCAAATAAACATCATATTATTCTACTCACTGACGAGACGTACATAACAGACCAATGTACATCGAACTGCCTCAATTTGAACCGGACCAAGGTAAGTACTTGATCCGGTGGCTACACAGCCATTGACGTGCGGTGTCAGCAAAGCGCCTGCAACTACAGCATGCAAAACTGACCCAATTAGTACGTCTCTTCATCACCTTAAACCCGTAGCTGTCCTTCCCCTTGATTATTGACTTCGTACAGTATTTCACCGTCCAATCTGTCTGTACAACGCGACATCCTTGTCATGCCACACGAAGAAGCCGAGTCAACCATGGCAACGAGCGCAAAATATTTACCACTATATGGTGCACAGCACCGCCAGGATGCACTTTGGGAAGGTGAGCAGCTACCTCGTGATACTCACCAGCTTACTCAATTAGAATCAGGCGGGAATGAAGCGCTTCCTCCTGCGTGGTGTCAGTATAAGACGTCGTCAGATGGTAAAATACAATATCAAGATGACATGCTGGTGATTTCCTCGTGGAACAGACCTTTACCAGGGGTGCGACTAGGTGAGGGATGAAATTGCGACAAGGAGCGACGAACTCACCGTTGAACATAGATCATCCTGGATATCTCGCTGTTCCTGGATGGGAATGGCATATCTCACCACTCGGTCGGTCCTACTTTGTCAACCACAATACTCAGACCACGTCGTGGAAGAAACCAAAGCCAGAACGTCCGGCAGGAAGCCCGAAGCCGGAGTGCGTCATTGAGGGTCACTCCGGATGCATATGGAGCTTTGCCTACTTGGGTAATGGCAATATAATGAGCACATCTTGGGATAGTTCGATTCGTCAGTGGAAAATAGACGGAGACCCAGTGGGAAAACCTTTGAATAGCGATGGGGGAGGGATACTTTCGATGGTAGTGTCCCCGGATGAAGCAATGGTGATTTGTGGAAGTGCCGATGGCAGGCCGTGGCTGTGGAATATAAAGGAGGGCATCAGGATCGGCGACCCGTGGGAGGGGCATGATGCTCCAGTGATGTGCCTCGATTGGTCTCGCAATTCCCTGGAGATAGCAAGTGGATCGACAGACGGCACCATACGACGCTGGAATCCGGATACTGGTCAACAGATAGCACCACCCATAGAGAGCCATGGATGGCTTGAAGCCGTCAAATACTCTCCAAAAGGCGATAAATTTATGAGTGGCGGTGTGGACGGTGTGATCCGCATGTGGTCAAAGGACAGCAAGCTGCTTATCAAGATCAAGGGACATGACACTGGGGTGACGTCATTGTGTTGGTCCATTGGAGGACGGCGCACACATATTCTCCGGTTCAACTGATAACACCATCCGAAAATGGCGGGCAATTGATTCCGACAGGAGGAACTCGTCGTTCTTCGGGGTCACACCCGCGTCATAAGATCTCTCTGTCTTACTCTCAATGAAAGCTATATTGTTAGCGCATCAAGTGACTGCTCCGGCCGGATCTGGGATCTCAAGACCATTCAGGCAGTCGAAGATCCACTCTTGCATGATGACCAACTCTTCGCTGTTGCCATGTCCCCCGATGGAAAATACATTGCCAGTGCTGGAATAGACAAAAAAATATATGTATGGATTCTGGAGGCAGCGCTCAAAAATGTAGTGGTGCGTATGCGTTTGGTTGTCTAATTTTCTTCCTAACGGGTTCGGCCATCTAGGGCGCAGATGATGGCAGTGCAAAGCTCAAGGCAAGTCTTCTCTGCTTCTCTTTCGCATATGTCTCACTTTTTACTAGGAACGTCCAGCCCAACCGAGAGTTGTATGCCCACCAATCGTGAGCAATCCCACCTCTTCTCATGTCTCGTCAGACCTTTGACCCTCGTCTTGCGTCTAATTAGCAGGCCAAAAAAACAGGAGTAGCAATATATGTCATTCTACTTTCTTGTTCTTGACTTTTTCTCGTCTGACACCAAGATACAGGGCAATGATTTCTTTGGCAACGAATCAGACCACGCGTCTCGTCGTGCAGCTCTTCCCGCAAGCCCATCGTCCCTTATCGGTTGGCGTCGTTTGCTCAGTTCCATACATTCCGGCACACGACCTCTAAATGCATTCCAACCAATCGAACGACGGTCCCGACACTGGAATATCAACTTCAAGTTGTTTTCTGGAGGACATTCCACGCGCACCGTCGATGTACCTCTTGCTCAAGATGAAAATGTGGGTGGCTCGCCTTTCCTCCTCTTTCCTCCCATTAAAACACTGCAGAGAATTGGTATTGTCCCCGAATCTGATGCGGAAGCGGCCGCAGCTATGCAACGTACGAATAGTAACCAGGCCGACAGTTCAACACAATTAGGTCAATCAACTGGGGCACGACCATCTCAAGCACCAATCCAAACAGAAGCACCAGTCTCAACTGATGGAGCGGAAGACTTTGCGTATGCAGGAGTGAGCTGCTGCGGATTTTTCTTTGGTCTCCGTCGTCCTGCTCCGCATCGGTCCTGAAGGATAGAAGACGCGTGACACGCGCACACTCAATTCAACTCTCTTTCCCCCGCACCTGTGTCTAACTCGTCTCATAATCAATATTCGCCACCATACCTATCACCCATGCACTCGGATCCATCTCTCCTCGTGCACCTCCTTTCCCTTGTGGATCCACGACACGTGTTGACAACACCGCCGGGGAAGTCGGCCCCGCTTTCTGGAATGCAGTTCTTGGTGGTGCAATGGTCTTCGAGTAGAGTCTAGAGGAGGGGACACAAGCCATTCTTGTAGAATCATGGACTTGAGCTGCCTCTGCTTCTTCTCTGCAAGAAGTTCGGTCCAATGCTGCATGTCGTTTGGGACTGGAGTGGGACTCGAGGCCTGAAACTTCACAAGAGATCAGACGGCCAGGGCAATAGTAAAAGGCTCTCCGCGACTGACATCAGTGAAGTTAGAGATAATACTTTCAATGAATACTGATAATAAAACCCGAGGGTGCCTCTCAGTTTCCTTCACTGGGGGCTGTACACATGACGGTTCAGGGCGAGAGCCTAGTACTACAGCGGATACCAAGTACCATCTTCAGCATGCTCAGGCTAGCAAGAAACCGCTAGATCTATCAAATACGGTGATTGGGCTTGTGATAATTCGCAACATACGGTTGGACGGACGTAATTTGGCCAGTAGTGACGCGGTCGGACAGGTTTCAGTCGATCCTGGTTTCAGCAGCATTGGCATGAATCGTAATTATGATTACGCTGTAGCTTGAGGTGAGGCAGCAAGAATCGGGATTCTCGATGTCGAACGCCGGCTGAAATTCGATATGTGGAGGCCTGCTTCGAGTGCGCGATCTGCTTGTCTTTAGATCGAGTCCAGGCCGCACTTTTACAACTTTAGTTTATTGATTCGGCAGAATGGTCCGAAATCATCTCCCTTACATAAATGTTACGCTCTTCCAAATTTCACCGGAACCACGAGTCCACGACAGTAACAGCGATGACTTCTTGAATTCTGCTATTCGGGTATCATCCGAGAGTCATGCAGGCATTTCGTGATGCTAAGTACGAAAGAATTGGGTAAGTGGTAGAAGTTTGATATCACTACTAGTAGTACTACTGTGGAGCCAACAGTCATTTCACGCCACAGAAATCGTTTGTACAGGAATTAGCTACGACAACGATGCTTTTAAGGCATCCTGATCACGGTGAGCTCCTCCAACAAAACGAGCTAACTTCTGCAGCAAGATCGCGAGGAAGCTTCGCTGATCTTTGATAGTATCGGTGCCCCACGTTTTGTGAGGAGTCTGCGAACAATGGTCTAGGATGCTTCTGCAGACATCATTGTAGGACTGTGCATGACGTTGGTGAATATCCGGGGACTCTGTGGGTTCATCCTTCAAAGTGGTGACGCAAGCATATCCAGAGAATTGCATTCCATACGTTGCAAGCTCGTCCATGTTCTCATTCCACCACTCTGCCATCACAGGACGGAAGTCTTCCAGGCACGTCACCACAATGATCGTGGGCACTTTGCTATCACGGATAACTGTCGAGAATATCTTGTAGTGAGTCTGCAGAGCCTTCGTTGCTCGCGTTCCGCGCACACAATATATAAGAAGATGGACACCGTCTTCCTGGTTAAGACCTCGGAGGAACGCAGTCAAGTTCCTCTCAGCCATCACCGCAGGCACTGTGCCTTCTGAGCCCTCATTTAACCCTGAAGACATGATCATTAAGCCGCTCTAGGCCAAAACCTTAAGCGTGAAAGAATACATACCTGCTGTATCCCACAGCCTGAAGTGTTGCCCGCTGATCGTTACATCATACGGAGCATGTGTAGTAGTACATGCGAGGGCATCAGGAGATGTTTTCGCTGCATCACGACCCATGATAAGGTTTATGAGCGAGCTTTTGCCTACCCCACTCTCCCCATAGAGTACCACGTTACGCGGCCGACCTTGATGACCCTACGGGAGACATCAGTCGCATACTGGATTGACCGATGAAGCAGATTACGAACCTGCTGTGAATATTTATTCCCTGTCGTGTCTGTGGAGTCGTGGCTATCAGACATCTTCCCTGAGAGACCCAATTAGCTTTGCAAAAAGAGATTGGCACAAGCTTACTTCGCGTGCGATCGTAAAGAGATGGATAACGGCTACTGGGCGTTTAAGTGATTGGGTCCGTGGCGAGCGCTTTCGGCCAGAACCAACGTGTTGCACCCTGTACCACGGCTATGAGGGCTGCACTGCGGGAGTATCCGATGTAAGAATACATGAGGACTTCGATATCAAAACGTGGCGAGCATCGAAATAGTTAGATTCCCCCTTCGGAATCGTATGGTAGGCATGCCTTATGCATGCCTGTCTAGACCCTGGCATTCGCTGTAGTTCTATTGCAAATATCGAGTGTCGCCGTCGACTCCGAGTAGCCGAAAGATCGATCAAGGAAGCTGGCTAACAGAAGCCGGGTGTCTCCCCTGTGAGTGTTTAAAATTTGAGACAAAAGGGTGATGTAAAACTATTATGAAAACGTACCGAAGGCGCGTGGTTACAACACCTTTCGCATCATATATACCTGTTACAAACAGTATCATTTTGAGGCAATTGCCATTGTACCACGCAGCGCAGAATAACCAGTGTACAGGTACGAGTAGCGCTATATCCAACTTGAAGGGTCGAATACTGCTGACTGCGAGTCGAACATAAGATGGCGCCAGTGTCGACTCGAAACGTCGTTATCTTTGGAGAAACAGGAGCGGGCAAAAGCTCTGTCATTAACCTGTTGGCTGGCCAAGAGATTGCACACATATCGCCCGACTCTCACCGCTGTACTCTGCATTGGACGGAGTACCAAATAACCTTCGAAGATGGGTCTCGATACAAGGTGTTTGATACGGTCGGCCTCGAAGAACCTCGTTTACAAACCGGAGAGTACCTCTCCGCAATTTCAAATGCATATGGCCTCATCAACACTTTGAAAGAACGTGGAGGTGTCAACCTCTTGCTCTTCTGTATACGCGGAGGCAGAGTCACAGCAACCATGCAGAGCAACTATCGGTTGTTCTTCGAATTTCTCTGCGAGGAAAAAGTCCCGCTCGCGCTAGTCGTCACAAACCTCGAAAGAGAGACAAGGATGGAAGACTGGTACACGCGGAATATGGGCTACTTGGAGAAGTATAACATCAGGTCCGCGGGACACGCATGCATAACTGCGGCGAATCTTCTGGACGGGAGGCATAGAGACAAGTATGATGAGTCGCGTGGAATACTCCGTCGAGTGGTTGAGGTTCATTGCAACGCATCCATGGAAGGGTGGACCGGCGGACAAGGATGGCTTGCTTCGTTCATTGGCAAGCTTGTGGAATTTGTCGTTGGACGCCCCAAAAAGACGGATATCATTGGGGTTCTCACAAAACGATGTGGGATGACCAAGGAGGTGGCTCAGCAGGTAGCGCAACACATTAAGTACGAAAATCAATCGTAGGATAATTTCGGACTTGCCACGGACACTATCTGGTACATACTTAGTACTACTACCGTAACAAAGATCTTGCAGTGTATCGCACATCGTAGTACAACAACCACTTCAGCTAACAGACTAGTGCGTACTAGTAACGCACCGTGTTCATTGAATTATGCAGCAGTGGGAAGATTGAGAATACCAAATATTACAACAAGAATGATTAATGAACCGCGACGTGTACGTGGTCAACATATCTGACGTTCATGGGCCCGGAGACACAACCAGCTACTACACAAAATCAGTAAAGATGATTGACTCGCTGGCGTCGCCGCTAAATTGTTACACACCTCAATCCGATAAACTTCTCAACACGTCTACTAGCTCCACTTGTACCTTCTCGATCCTTGTCGCTTGGTTTTGCGCTTCTCCCGAATTGTGCATTTTCAACGCCGTCCGCACTTCTCTCACAAACGCGTATGATTGGATTGTGGACTCTTCAACCCCTTCAGCCTCTTTCGAAGCCTGTGAGGACGTCGTATCGTCAGCAATCAGACCAGAGAGGTCCACAGAAGAAGCCCGCAGAAGAGCAAGGTCTTGTAGGGTGTCGTGAAGAGGAAGTGGTATTCCTTTTGATGCCATGATCAGTGTTCCAAGCAAGCTACTTAGTAAGCACTTCTAACTCTTCTCGCTCAGTGAACGATCATCGAATCGTCCGTCATCCTCTTTGACCCACAATCTCCCATCGAATTGAGCGAAGTAGATTTCTTCATAAATTTGTATTTCATGCAATCACAGTGCACACACACGTCTTATCAACGATGCCCATCTCATACAGTTTCTAATCCGCTCACCACTGACAATCGCTTCGAACGGATCACGAGTCTATCCATCCCTGCACAATCGGACAAGACATTCACCGCATTGTTTAACATACCAAATACTAAGCTTGTGGTCAAATCCGACGAAGGAGCCGCCTATGCATTGTGCGCACTTGTGAGTGAGAATAAGGAGAATCGCGCGCAGACTCCGCAGATGTCAGCAGAACTCTTTGTATGAGATAAAGAAGTGTTGGAGCTTAAGATGAAGTTAAAGCCTTCTCGAAGCGAAAAAAAGAAAGGTAGGCGGCGGCATCATCTTTACCTTGCCATTTCGTTACTTAACAATAGTCACAGATAGTACAGCCATGCCCATGTATCAGCAACCAACGCCCCCTTGGTGATTTGCTCCAGGAATTTATGGGCATAATCGGCGAGCAAGCTGAAGACAAAAATTAGCTTAAAATTTCGAACACACGGATACAGGCCACCTTTCAGCGCACGAGTGATTAATCTCGATACCTTGCAATCCCTATTGATTTATATCCCCAGTAATACACGACACTTCATGCTCTACAACTAGATCACTCGCTATTAGCGATCTTCGGCTTGGAGGATCAGATGGCTATGCGTGAACTGGTGCTAGTTGTGCGTTCGAAGCTAAACACGGAAGATGCAGCTTTACTGTCTGATAATGATTTGATAGGTGGCAAGAATACGGTTCACCAAGAAGGGAATGACGCGGACTCCAAGAATATACCGACTTCGCTGTTCTAGAGACAGGGTTGGATCCCTCGATCAGAATTGCTGCAAACGATCTGCATAACGAAGTTCCACAATTGCAGATAGTTCTTGTACGAGATATTCTTCTACATATCACTGCATCGCACAAATAGAATGAAAATCCTTTATCTACTATCTCGTAGCGCTTCTCATCTTCACAAGTAATCTCGTGCATCAAGTGAGAAAAAAAACAACTTGGAGCATGTACGCGATATTATATAGTCCTGTCATGTATTCGTAGAGAAAACAGTTACATAACAGCAAGTGTTGAATGATTATAGTATCTACCATTCCGTACCAAATATAGTGTGAGCACCCTGTGGATAAACGTATGAGATACTTATAAAAACCCACACAAACATTATGTGCAGTATGTATCAAACATCGAATGAGATACCGTCCTCACAAAAACAAGCGTCCCAATCTAAAACTTCTCTCCTGGATCTAACGGGCCCAGCGGGCCATACCTCTCACCGGTGCGACTCCGGTCCTCTATTCGTGTGCCGTACGGTTGATGCTGTACGGGGGGTGTTCGTGAGCCCGAGTCGGATGACGCGTAGGACATGAGACGCTGTTGTGATGGGTTATCACTGAGCTGATACCGTGCGGCGTACATCGTGCTCGTGGGCGTCCGTTGCGGGCTCTCATCATCATCAAACCCACTCTCTAACATCGCCTCCAACTCTGCACCGCCAACCACCTTGTTCCCATCAGCCCCATGCCCAGAGGCAAACAGACCGACAGGTGGAGCAGGGAACTGAGCATTGTTCTCGTTGTATCCACCAATCTGCGGACCATAATGATCGTCCTCGGATGACACAAAGGAATACGTGTCTGACCCGTCGCCGTATGGACTACGTGCTTCATTGCGGGCGCTTAGTAGGTCGTTTTCAGAAATGTACCCGCTGGATGCATACGATCAAAGTCACGCCGCCGCCGTTCCTCACGCTTGAGTTTGCGTAAGCGTGAGCGCTCCCAATCTTCCCAGCGGCGAAGAGTAACCGAGGAACCATCGAAGGTGCCAGAGCCAGCACCATGCCCTTCTCCCTTTGTCTCCCCTTCCACTTTCCTGTAACCTATCCGTTAGCAGCTGCAACTTGCACGAAACGGAATATACAGTACCTCGTCTCTCCCCATGAGAAGTCATCAAAGTGCCAGAATGCATACACGGGAAGAACGAAATTCCACACCGGCAGTGCCACGAGGTATATAATCATCCAGAACACATATACAACCTTCCTCGTCGTTATCAATATCAGCACAGCGGGAAGACCCAGTACAGACACAAGTAGCATGAGGGGGATCGCTTCCTCGAAGGTTGTTGGGGGTTGCATGATCATGCCCGCAATGAGCGCATAGGTAAGCACGATGGCGATGGGTAGTACGACCGTCCCGAGCAAATCCATGAAGACCACAAATTGCATGCTAAAACAGAATGTCCCGCATAGATTGCGCACAAGAACAAGTTCCATGAGATTGTGGATCGTGCTGTTAATCCATCGACGACGTTGAGAGAGGAGAACTTTGAAAGTATCGGGTACAACAGTCCGGCATTTGGCTTGGGGTAAGAACATCATCTTGCGATTGGGGAATGTACGAAGGAGAATGGTGGTGAGGAAGCGGTCTTCTCCGAGTAAAAGAAGGTTCTGTTGGTGCAGCGTGGTGACCTCGCTTTGACTGTATTCGCGTACAATTTCAGGCTTAACAATAAGAGGTATCCAGTCGTCACCCGTCGTCTTGCGCGCTTTCAGTCGAAACATGGAGAAACAGCCAGGCAAACATGAAACACCACCAAAGACGGATTCGAAGGCTTTGGCTAAGTGGTGGGAGATGAAGTATTCGAAGACTTGGATGGCGGTGACCCAGGAATCACGTTTGTTAGCTATGCGGGTCTCCCCACAGACGCCCATTATCATCTGGTCGTGGTGCATACAGTTGACGAGGTATTTCAGCGACTCAGGGTATACCTTGGTATCGGCATCAACCTGTGGATACATCAATACACGAAAGTGGAGTGGTAGATGAACACGTACCATCAAACACACCTCAAAGAAGTCAGGCGTGACACCCATTAGGGTATGGATCTTCCGGAACAAGTCAAAATCAAGAGGGGTCATCCGATCGTTATATGTGACGCGAGAGAAAAAGTTCATGAGAATGAGCTGGCTGTCTCGTTTGCCGCGGTTTCCAGGTTTTTTGTCACTGGTAGCCTCGGCCTCCGTCCACACTTGACAACAATCACAGTAGGTGTGCGACGACCAGCAACCGCTGACCGATGTTATTAGCACTAGGCCTTCGCACCAAAAATTGAAGGCATACTGTAGTGTCCTGCATAGACCATTGCTCTATTTTCCCGCTTCGTTCCACTTCCAATTGCAAGATAACTCATGGGCATGGGATTGCCGAATCGAGGATCCGCATCCAGCAATCCCACACATATATCAGGTGTGCTCATCTTCTCTCCTGCACCAGTGATCATGCCATCGGCCACAATAAAAAGTAGCTTGCGTGCATCAGAGTAAGTCGTCCGAGAAATGGAATCCAGCGTGGAACGTATAGAGTCTTCACCCTCAGAGTAGCACGTTACGAGGCAGATGGCGAATAACTCGGCACCAATTTGCGTGAGAGACATGACGGGTGCAGCTTCCGGTAATAGGGTCGTGCTGGAAGATGCAGGAAGGCGGGTAGGGATTGCTTTGACGAGTTTCTTCGACCCATGAGGGCCAGCCCATGGTGCTGTACCCGTGCGGTTGTCAACTGAGATATTTGCACCCCCAGGCATCACCGCCGGACTGATGGCCGACCTGTTGAGATGCGACGTGTCCGGGTGACCTGCAAGCCTCGCAGACAGGAACCAGCTAAATACACACGCCATTGCAAAGCGGACAAGGCACGAGGGCAAGGATAACGATGAGTCCAACATATAGGAAGAGGGAGCTGACGAAGCAGCCGGGGGTGATCTTGGCAATGTTTCCTGCATAGTATCGCTGATAGAGGCATGGAACTGCTGTAAGGATGTCGGCACGGTTGTAGAATAGACGGGTGCCATCCTTTCCACTAGAGCTCGCCTGTGTCTTCAGGATAGTGCGGATTGCGAGATCTACGGGGTCGGAAGCTACCGGGCTGGGATGTTGTGTCATGTAGGGATTCATGTTTAGTACGGCACCGTCAATTACGAAGTAATTTGGGAGGGCAGCGACTTGGTCCCAGTCGTAACCAAGCAGAAGAGTTGTCTCCTGGATATCGAGTTGCGTAAAGGTGGAAGAGGCATTGATTGCACCAAGAGGACAGTCTGTTGCAGATATACACGGTTGGTCCAAGGCAACACGGAATTTGAGACCTTGGCACGCGGAATATTGGCTGGCAGTGCGATAGAAGTAGGGAGTAATGTCCTGTCCTGGCTCTTTAAGGGTGAGTTGATCGAGGTTCACACTTGCAGGACTGTTGGCATGGGTGACATTGTATAAAATGCCAAGTATGCTCAGCGTGCCGGGGAGTGAGCCAAGAATCGAGTACCGCGAGGGGTTCATGCTGGATGTCTCGGGACACAAGACCTTCTGAGTGCCGACGGTAATGAAGCCAATGATAAAACATAAGATAGCAATGATGAAACATAGGGCGATTTTCTCTCTCCATGCCTGTATCTTGCCCTTGTCTTTGAGACCCCCGAGAGAGCTAAGCAAACAGGATGGAGCCCAGAAAGTAACGATCTGAGCGAACAAACGCCATGGGTCGAAACCACTGCTCCGGGAGCCGGTTTGAATAGTACCTGATGCGGAAGGGGTGAGGGATGACTGGGGATTAATGAGAGGTACTGGTGCGACACTTCGCTCCGGGCGAGTGAGGGTTTTTGCACGGCGTATAGTGGTGCCCGTGGGCTGAGGTGGACGATTTGTAGGGACTGGGACATCAGCAGATGCGTACGTAGGCTGTGGTGCGAATCTAGCCGCCATGACTCTCTCCAGAAAAAAGACTGACTTGTACACCCAGAACGGTGCTTTGGTATCTGGGAATAATAAAGAGCGGTTAGAAATGAAAGACAAAGGAATAAACGAAAAATCGTGAGCCCGGAGCAGCCAGCTGAGTTGACGTTGTAGTTGAAAGTCAAGCTCTAGCGTAGCAACAATATTCAGCGCTTAGCACGTGAGACTCTGATACGATAACTAAATGTGACTACTAACTAACTAATAGCCACTTTACTTTGTTTGCCAAATAAGTCTCTCAGGTTGTTCGGCTTAGTGAACACTGTCACAGTAAGAGGCTATAGTTTCTCTGCGTACATCCTAACAGTAAGTACTTCACTTAATCGACATCATTCGCGACCACTGCTCTTGCCATTTGATACCAAAAATGTCTGTGCTGTGTATATCAGTCGTCGTCCATGCTAGTGACTTTCTAGAGGAGTTCGAAATTCCATTAATTCATAGGCGCTAGTAGCCTACTAGCGGATGTTGAGCGGATGCCAATAATATCATTGGGCAATGGGCACAGGGCGATGGGCATGCACGATGACACAGCTTGGAGCTTAAATTCTAAGTTTCCAGCATATGAGACTAGCGCCCTCTCATGATTTAGACTCGGACTCACCACTCGACGGACAACGCTCCAGAGTCCAAATGTCCACCCCACCTCAGCCGTCGCACTCGAAATCTAAGGCTGTGCAGAATGGAAGTGGTCAACGTATTTTGACAGTCAATATTCTTACACTCTCAGGCTCCCAAAGAGGACTTTCCCGGGGCAGAACAGTGACTACTACGGCAGCGCGTTCCGACACTGTCTATGACGAACCCTGCACCTCGAGTCAACAGGACGCAGGGCAGTCCACGGGGAACAAAAAAGTCTCTGAGTGTAACACCCAGTCTAGGGATGACAACTCACAGGTTTGCACAAGTCCACTGGTATCCCAATCAGTGACGGATCCTGATGTATTTTACCTAGGCATCCACCTCGAAACTTCCACCTCTGTAGGCTGTTCATACTGAAGCAAGTCTGCATTGATTCAGTTCCTTTGTTTTTAGTCACGAAATACAACTGGCACTAGCAGAAGATCTGACAGGTCAGATCTTCGGCGGAATAAATGATTACGTTGCAAGTGGTGCATTCGCAAACGTTTACAGATGTGAATGGAGAAAACCGTCGGGCCCTGTCAAGGTCTGGCCAGTGGACAGCGCTGGCGTCACTTGCTGATCAGCCTGTCCATTATCGCACTACAGGTCGCAGTAAAAGCCTTCAGGCATCACATGAATAACGTCTCAGAGCAGGACTTAAGAGTGAGGGTCTATTTTTTTTTGGTTTTGGACACTATTTTACGTGGATTCGTTAGAGGTTTCGACGAGAAACTGCCATATGGGCACACCTCGTTCACGACAATATCGTCACACTTTATGGAACGACAGAGGGGCTCGGGTCAACTACAGCCCTTGTCTCCCAGTGGTTTCCGCACGGCACGCTGTCCCGTCTGATCACAGAACAGGGTGCTACATTAACCATCAAGTCCAAATTGAAGCTGGTAACTCAAACCTATTTGGCTATAATGGACCTAAACTGAATTATACTTATTCACCAGCTTCACGACATAGCATCTGGGCTCTACTATGGTTTGTATTCCCTTCACGGTCATCTTGTTTCAACTGTTAAATTTGCCGTTAGTTCACTCTTTTCCCGTTGTTCACGGTGACATTACGAGCGTGAGCTCATCCTCTACATTCAATTGCACTCACTAATAAATGCAGTCTAATGTTTTAGTGGATCTCAAGGAAGGAGAATACAAGGCTTACCTAACGGACTTCGGCTTGTCAAGTATCCTCTGCGAACGTTTAAAAGAGTGCTCGATTGAAGCATCAACAATTGTTCGGCCTGGCGCAATCAGATGGACTGCGCCCGAGTTGATGAGGTCACCAGACTCCCCTCCCGATGTCAAACCATCCACGCAGAACGACATGTATTCCTTTGGTCGTGTCATGTTCCATGTAAGTGTGAGCGTTTCAAGTCCACGAAGTTTATATTCAATCTATCATTCATCCCAGTTGTTGACTCTGACTGTTCCTTGGCATGACATTGATGATTACAGAGTCATTCAAAAAATACAAAATGGAGAGGACGTCCCGCGTCCTGAGGTATCCGAGGCGACGTCTGACGTCACAGACGCCCGCTGGGATCATATCAAACAGTGTTGGTCAATTGATCCAGCTGCTCGTCCATGTGCCCTCACAGCTATGAACTTCATAACGAATGAACTAGAGGCTTTGGAACAGGATGTAAGCTCATAACTTGTCTCGCCGTATAGGAGTAGGGTGTCTGACTCTGATAGGGTGACCTTGTTAGCGGGGTACAAGAAAACCACCAAAATATATATTTGGTCGCGGAGCCGGTATGAACTGGCCAGCTTGCGATTGAAGTAATTTGGCTTAAATGTTTGTCAACCAGTCTAGGATTTCCACTGCACCGTCGCTTCAGTCTTCCTTGCAAACACTTGTTCCGTCACCCAATCCCGTTCCCTCTAGTCCTTTAACACGTCATCTCTTCTCTACAGCCTCGTCGCTGGTGAGAATCTAATGGTACATTGTTTTTTTGTGTACTGATTCTTCCACGTGGTCAAGTCACTTGCAGGTCCTTTGAATGTGTTACTTTTCGGGGAGACTGGAGTTGGAAAGAGCGCCATTATCAACTTGATTATGGGATGCGATGTTGCACAGACGTCGTCAGATGCACCACCCTGCACATTGCGGCACACCTCCCATCAAGTTAGTCTTGCAGGTCGCGAATTCAAACTTTGGGAAGCTTCCTCGATCGAATCAATGGGTTTTTTCCGGACCCTTTTTGCAAAATGGCGCCTGAAAAAGTCATACAAGAAGCTGTACAGAGATGACGGAGTTTACCTTCTTTTATATTGCATGAGGGGATCGAGGGCCCAGAGAGCACTGATCAAGGATTATAAATTCTTCACTGACATCGTTGGCTCCACAGCCACTGTGGCAGGCGGCGTACCGGTCGCCGCTGTGGTCACCTGCTTGGAAGATTATCCCAAGGACATGGATGTGTGGTGGACGAAGAACATAGACAATCTGGAACGCCTCGGAATGCGGTTCTCCGCACACGCTTGTATCACTTCTCTTCCTGACGATCCAACATCCTCACTCGCTATGCGCGCACGTCGACAGCGATCAGAACAAGCCATCCGCCATCTTATTTATGGGTCCTACAGAACAGGTACCGAAACACCTCGCAGTTCCAGTCCAGCTTTGACTCGATGAAAAAAAATCTGGCTTAGTTGCGTATTATTGTCTTCGGAGATTTGGGTTCCCCTGGCAAGGCGCTGTGCGCATATCACTGTTGAAAAATCCGTTCAAGGCTTCATCCTGCTAATGACCGTTCTGCAATTTCCTCTGTATGACCGATATGTATCCTTTATGTCGCGCTATACTAGTAGTACTTACTATGTATATGTAGATTTGAGTTCGATACTATCTCACAGTGCACTAGCACCGTTTCTCACTGTATCGTTATCATTGTTTTTGCAAACCCTGTATCCCAGGTTCGTCATCGTCATCGACTGACAAGTCTAGTCCTAGTTGCCAATGAAGAGCATATATATCACGCTGGTGAGCCAAAAAATTTGAGACGATGCAAATCAGAACGGTTTATGTAAATAGATCGGCTTCGCTTAGTAAGCCACCGTTTGATCTGATTCGGATTGGACGAGCAGTACTCACAGCTTCAAGCAGTAGATCAACTGGGCATAACACTTGTGAAGACATTCTGCACGACACTTCATTTCTACGTAAGCTCGAACACATTACTATCCTCACATAGGCCAGGGCGGTTTGTACTCTAGAGCGCTTTTCGAGCGCCCAGTCGAGTTCTTGCCCGGCGACTGCAGATCATGTCATCATTCGCGAAGTCCAAGTTGAAGGCAGCGAGAGATGCTATTGGAAAGAAAAAGTACGAACAAGCACGTGAAGCCGCTGCACAGGTTCTTGAATACGAGCCTGATAACTATACTGCGTGCGTTCCCAATCTAAAGGGATGTGTTGCGAATCTCATATCGACTATCTTGTGCTGGGCAGCCATGTGTTTCTTGGTCTTGCTCTCTTAGAACTCGGCCAGCACGAGAAGAGCGAGCAAGTAAACCTGACGATCGTTGTGCGGCGCATATAAACTAATTTTTTACATCAGCTTTATCGAAAGGCCATAGAACTCAAGGATGATCAAATACTCGCATGGCAGGTACAGTGTGTTGCTAGCCTCAAATAAGTGATTCTTACCTAGTGCCATGCATAGGGAATTGCAAAGCTTCACGAACAAACTCAGAAGTGGAACGATTTGGCGGATACCCTGGAACACATGATGCAGATATTTGCCAAAAAGTGATTGCGTTCTCATTGTGATGCATACAGCTGAGAATTGAAAAAAATCGTACAGCGATGATGCCACAAAATGTGCTGAGACCCTTCAAAAATTAATGGATATTCTCCGGCAACATGGGACACGCCGTGAGGTATGAATTTGCCCATCTTGAAGCCATCTTTCTCAACATGTTTAGGTCATTCAAGCATTATACTTTTACCTACCAGAATCCTCTTTGTATCCGGTTCTTTCAACACTCCCTCCACCTAATGCTACGAATCCTACATCGACCTCAATTTTTCCTACTCAATCGGCAATCCACAATTCACTCGCCGTCTATGAGGAGCTTGTATCCCTGACAGAGCGAGAAGAGGAAATGTTTATCAAGTCCGAGTTTGACAAGCGACGTACTCGCCTTGGAGCTCCTAAACCTGAGCAACTCAAGAAAGACATTGGCATCGAGATTTGGCACTCGTCAAAGGTAAAGCAGCCTTGTGAGCACTCCGGTTGTCAGGCTAATCTTGACCTTGCAGCTTCCAGTACTATACAACGATATTCTTAATCATCCCAGCACCTCGGACGAACTGCGGCGCGCCACAGAATCGAAACTCATTCGATATAAATACCAATTGTTTCTGGCACTCCCCTCTACTGACCCAGAAAAACGCCAAGTTGGCATGCAGTTGGATGAGATGGTTCACGGTATTGTGACGATTGGCATTCCGGATGAGTTTGCTTGGTGCATCTGGTTTGAAGGGAAAGATTATGATACAGTTGGTACTGGGCACGCCATCAAATTAACCATGATTACTGAATTGGCTACTCTAGAGGGTCTTGGTCTTGCGTATCTCAAGCAGTTCATAGAACTCTTCCCGACAAGTACATTGGCGCTGATGTTGACAGGATACTTGACATACAACAAGGCTGCTTATGGTGACGAAGAATCAACAGAAGAACTGACCTTTGCGGTGGATAGCGACCCTTATGGCACTATTCTTGTGAGTTCACGAATCACGCTGTAGAATATATCGATATCACTGACATATCTCTTCAGGATGCCTTTTCAGCACTCCCGGACTCATTACTAGCGAACATGATCACAGCCCGAGTCCATTTACAGGAAGTCGAATACACAGATGCCATCAAAGTCGCTGAAAGCGGTCTGGAATTGGTGCGCAGGTATGAGTCGAACGCAGCTCGTGAACTCCAAGAGTATGTGGAAATCATTAGAACCCTGAAATGTAGTGATAACTTATCGTCCATTTAGAGTGCGCAAGGCCTTTCACATTATTCTGGCCACATCCTTCGTCCACCTGTTTCCTCCAAAGCACCACCCTCGCGCCCTTTATTTCTTAAATGACGTCCTGAAGCAAGATCCTACCAATGTGGACGGATTGATGGGGAAGGGGTATGTTTTCCGATACGCTGAAAAATGGGAGGAGGCGGAGGTGCTATTTGCGCAAGCAGCGGAGCAGCTCCCTGACGATGTTGACAAAGGTGTGGAAGCAAAAGAGGAGAGTGCGTGGTGCCTTAGTCGGATGCATGCGGATGCTGGCGTAGATGCTTTGAAAGAGGTCTTTGAAACCTTGAAGGATATCGAGGATCGTGACACCGGTAAAGCTCGATGCCTGTGGCGGATTGGAAGATGTTATTGGGATCTAGGAGGTATAACGACCCACGCCTTTTGGCTTGTATTACTGATCCCTATTACAGGAGAGTCTCGCGAGGAAGCTTTCAAATACTTCATCACATCGCTCAAACACAATCGCGAATATGCACCAGCATACACTTCGCTAGGTGTATATTACTCAGAACACGCGTCACCGCCCGACCATACTCGAGCTTCGAAGTGTTTCCAGAAAGCGTTTGAACTGGATGCTCGTGAATCAGAGGCTGCGAGGCGCCTTGCGGAAGGCTTCGCTGACGAGCGTGAATGGGATTTGGTTGAGGTAGTGGCTCGGCGTACTATAGACGGTGAAGGCGGGATGGGTGCGGGTATGGGGGAAGGAGATGGCGCAGCTTCAGGAAAGTATCTTCCGACAAACGCGTGGGCATGGAAGGCTCTCGGTGTTGTTGAGCTGGTAAAGGATGTACTTATGACGTTTATTTCCAACCTAACTTTATTTGGCACAGATAAGGAGGAACTATGCGGAATCCATCAAGGTTTTTCAAGTGGCACTCCGAGCAGATGTCGATGACCAGCTCTCGTGGCTAAGACTTGGTGAAGCTACAGTAAAGCCGGCCGCCATGCCGCTGCCCTCAGGGCACTTGGTAGAGCTCACGAGCTTCAACCGGACGACTGGATGTGTACATACTTTATAGGGGAAGTCCAACGGCAAGCGGGAAGGCTTGCAGAAGCTCTTACCTCTTTCCAGTCTATACTGGATGTTCGTCCCACTGAAGCCGGTGTCCTTTTATCTGTTGCACAGACCTACCTCGACTTAGCCCGGCATCAAAGGTTTACCGGGTTTGTTACCCGAGCTGAGCAGTCTTTTATCTCCTGTGTCAACGTTGTGTTAGTCGCCATCCGGGAAAGCCCGGGATATCGTGGAGTCGCCTGGAAAATCGCTGCTGATGCTCTATTTGATTTATCGGTAATCACTGTCTTCGCAGATGAAAATTACGTCCGCGAAACCGTGACCGTGGTCTGTGAAATCATACAAGACCAAAGTAGCGCTCGGCTGGCCGGTCTATTCAAGTTCACAACTCTCTCTCCGGACGACCGAATCACCGGGCTGAACGTACTCGAAGCTGCTGTCGCTGCCTACGATTACCGCATCACAGTGGGCTCCTCCGACGAAACCGCTCTCCCAAGCTCATTGTACGACCTTGCTGTAGCCCTGCACGAGTGGATTTTGAAACAGCCATCCGGTACCACAGGGAAAGCCTTGGAGGCAACAAACTCATTCTTGGTTCAAGCCCTACAGATAGAGCCTGGAAATGTCAGGTTCTGGGTCGCATTGGGTGATCTTCACTTCGCACAAAAGCCGAAACTGTCGCAACATGCATATATCAAGGCGATCGAAGTTGACACCAAGGTTGGTGGGACACATATGCCCGTTGCAATCTCAACTCAACCTATCTAGAACGTGGTGGCGTGGACCAAGATTGGTCTCCTCTACCTATATCATAACGATATTGAGTTGGCTACCCAAGCATTTACGAAGGCGCAAACTCTTGATCCGGATCATACCCTGGCTTGGATTGGCCAAGCATTGATTGCAATAACAAACGGTCACGAAGCAGATGCTCGTACATTACTTGAGCATGCAGTCAGCATGACAGCAGACGTGGTGAATACATCCCCGCCGCCTTATATTTGTATAAGCAACTGACACGTGGTTCAAGCCTATGGCAGACCTGCAATTTGCCTTACGCGTTCTTGTTACCGTAAACGATTCGAATACAGTTCGTGCACCCAATACAGATCGCCTTTTAACTGCCTTCTTCGTCCTCGGGCGCTATTCCCAACGCTGCCCGGCTGATGCCTGCGGCCTGCATATCTTCGGTCTGATTTGCGAACACCTTGGAAAACTTGAACAGGGTGTGGAATACATAAGTCGTGCAATTACTCTTCTAGAAGCAGCATACGAGGAGAAGGAGGATCCCATAGTCGAACGCCAATTTGTCATCGCACACACCAACATCGCGCGACTCCGTCTTGGGTTGCAGGACTATGAAGGATCATTGGCATCTTTCGAGAACGCTCTAAGTCTACTTCCTGAAGATGCAGAGCGGGAATCACAGATTCTACGCGTACAAGCTCAATACGGGTCTGGGTTAGCGTCTTTCAAGATGGGTGATCTTCAGGCCGCCATGGCGGCATTTCAAGCTGCTTTGGAAAGCGCCGCTGACGATCTTGTTCTCCGAGGACAGGTTACTGTTCTGCTGGCACAGACGATGTGGGCGATTGGGACACCCGAGTTCCGCGAGTCTGCGAAAGGCTTGTTACTTGATTGGTCAGAATGCAACGTCGATGATTCCCAGTCAACTAATCTATTGCTTTAGCATCACCGCCGATCCAGAAAATTTGATGGCAATCAACACTCTAGCTGGAATGGGGATACTCACTGAAGACGATGGGCTAGTTGATGCCGCGCTCTCCGAAATTCTGTCACTCCCCGTAGAACAGAGACTTGAGCTCGATCCTCGAAGAGACGTGACGTATCTCCTCGTGCAACATTATCTTGGGCTGGTACGAATTCAAGTCTTAAATTGTTTGAGTGCACGATCCTGAGATTTTTTCGGCAGGGCGACTCTGACAAGGCAATTAAAATCGCGCAAAAAGCCCTTCATGTTGAGCCTTCGAATCTGCAGATGAGGCGAGAAGTCGCATCTTTGTTGCTCATGCAGGGGGAAGGAGACGCTGCGTCGGCCATCCTGGCATCTGTAGCGCTGAATCAAAACATTGCAGAAGCAAAGACCACTCTTGCATTATCGGTACTTGCACAACCAATACAGTCTCAAAGAAGTGCACAAAAAGCCATCATGCTGGAACCCGGTCAACTGCGAAACTGGCAGACTTTGGCTTATGTTCGAGCACAGGAATCGCTGTGATATCGGGTAGGATAATGTACACGTATGTAAAAAGAGACTCAATACTCGATCATCCAATAATGTGCCTGCTGTATGAGTTCGTGTAAAATGTCGGGTGCTGCGATGCCGTCCATTGGCAGAACTCTGCCTTCAGCAGACAGGGCACGTCCGTCACCGTTTTCCTTGAGCAGCGACCTCTGTAGCATCACCGATGAGTATTGAGAGGATTCATTGCACGAAACTTCATACCTCGTCGCGTCGCGTCCTCCAGCAACTGAGTATCGACGTGTTCTGCAGGGAGCTGCACATACCTCACAACGGAACCGCGAATAAGCAGTTTTTCACCGCCATCTAGAAACAGAAATGAATATGGAAACCGGATAGAAAGCGTACATTAAGCACCATGTGTGGGTGTCTCGCCTCGTCCAGTACATTGATTGAGTCTAGACGGATATTGAGAAATCTGGGGGAAGAATGGGAGTGCATCATCAGTGATATTGGATCTATGCTGAGATGAGAGCTACGATACTGACTGGTCTACTGACTTCAATACTCCTGTAATCGAGAGATCGTTCTTCAACTCGACGGTTACTCGTTGATCTGTCAGTGTCTTGAAGACGGAGAAGATAAGCTTTTGGATGTCCAAATTAACGATCAGTTAAGTTCGCAGCAAGACGCTATGAAAGCTGACCATGACTAGAAGCACGGCTTAGATTTTAATAGAGTGGTGAATGATTATGGCCGGTGACATCGTCAATCGGAATTATTTGGCGCAGTGGCTGTGCTCAACCGCAAGAAGACGGCCTGCTGATATCATAGAGAAAACTAGTGCTACAATATTGTAATAATATCTACTCAAAGTCCGCCATATCGAAGTTGTACATAAAGTGCTAGCAGTTATTGAGGTCAGTATTTGCCAGAGATGGTGAAAATTTGTTTCTACCTTGTATAAACTCATGACCTTCACTACCCAAGCCTCTAGGTGATAAATCTTTTTGTTGCCAAGTCGCATTCGGGTCTCCTGTACACATGTGAGAAACTGAAAGATTCAGCCAACGCCCACATACATAAAATGCAGCCCAATGCATAACATCGGCTTTCATAGCCTCGTCCACTCTCTCCACCACCCGCTCTGCAACGGTCTGGATACTATCAGTAACCTGTTCAGTATGCTGTACAGAGCGGTTCACCTTCAATATGATCGTTGGGGGAATGCAGTGGGCAAGAAGCTCGTAGAGTTTTCCCCGGACTTCCAAAACGCGTGCTGGTGACTGTTCTTGGACGATGAGATCAGCGACCTTGTGACAGTAGATTTCCCAGTCTGGTTTGGCTATTGTCAGTGAACCTGAAAGATCTGGCCTGCACACGATGAGTGGCTGTAAGAGCGATACGGTTGCAGATTGAACATACGATTGCATTTTCAGGGCTTCGAAGACGAGTAATGCTTTTCGCATGTTGCCACCAGAGTCTTCGGCGATCTGTTGTGATGCTTCTTCAGGTAAGTCGAACTTCAGTTTCTTCGCTACATGTTCCAAGACATTTTGCATCTAGAGGCGTTCACTATCAAGTTTAGAAAGAGCTGCTTGATGCCTACTCACTTCTTCTGGGGTCGGTGCAGCGACTCGCATAAGTAGACAACGACTCTTTATTGGTGCTATTAGTCTGCTGGTGCTGTTGGCGCATAGTATTATCCGCATGTTTGACATGTATTTCTCCATCGTTCGACGTAACGCTGCTTGGGCATCACGGGAAAGAGAGTCCGCTTCGTTAATCACGACGACTAACAAAAAGGTGAGGTTGAGATCTGATTATTACGCAATGTTGGATGATACCTTTGAATCTATGCTTCGCGTTCAAGTCTACCTGCTGTGTCTGCGCAATTTCCTTTAGCAAATCTTGAATGACAACTCTGTCATAATTTCCGGCCTCACTTCAAAGCACTTTAGATGATTCAGAAGAGTATCAAATGCCGAATAGCTGACCTGGGAGTGATCTCGATGTGAAAATTGCTTTGAACAACGTTTATTTCCAGCTTGCGTTTCGACGGTGAGATAAACACTCGTTGATCAATTTTGAGCTTCGATTCATGTTCATCAGTATCATCCAAAGCAAATCATAGACTTGTACGATTCCCCTCACCTTCTCAACACCACTCCCAAACAACTGCCTTAGAGTACAGCTGATCCGTGTCTTCTTTCCAGCTCCAGAAGGCCCGTAGAAGAGCATGTGTGGGAAGTCGGCTGACGCAGCCTGTATGTATGACACCATATGAGACACATAACCCTAAAACATCTAAGGTCGACTTACCAGAGATTTTAATCGAATAGACAAACTCTGGTGGTAGTGAAGGTCATCCAAAGTCTTTGGTCTGAACTGCACTACTATGAGAATAGCCAACCACCCAACGTAAAAAAGCTTCTCACTTTGTCTACCCAGAGAGACATCGTTGGAAATAGTTGAAAGCCAAATAGGAACGTCGATTTGAAAGCGCAAATTGCATGACAGCAGTCGCGTGACGTCACGCGTTAATTGTCACGCATCTGAAGGTATATTGAGCCAATACCATGGATGAAAAGTAAAGCTACCAAGAAGTGACTAGTGATCTTCGAGTAACAGGACAAGAAGGTAGCGCATGGACAGCAACGATGTCATATATTGTTGAGAAACAAGATGGCGTTGAAAAGAAAACACGACCTAGATAGACCCCTATTAGTATGGTGGGAGTGAAATTCTTCCTTTTTCATTACTTGTTTTCCCACATGAGAACTACCGCCTCAAAGTACTGTAGATATATATATTGCTCACTATTTCTAAAGCCTATCGTCTTATACCTGTGTCCATTCCTTCACATAGCAGTACTGAAGTGACTGTCTTTAGCGAAAAATATCGCCCTTTTAGAGTCGTTCACTGGTAACTCAACTACATCTTCAAATGACTTAGAATCCTGGGTCTTTGGAACATCCCAGCACATCTGAGTCAACGTGCCTAGTACCCCTCGTGAGGTTTATCTGAGATACACTGTATTGTACTACGGTGAACACCACTGGACACAGGCGAGACATCAGCAAACGTGCAGACGGTCCTGGATGGCCTGGAGAGTCTGGCTCCAGATTATCAGGTTATCAGATTCAAGCCTGTGCGCACATGAATCAGCCATGACCAGATGGGTATGCCTGTTACCAGATCGTGTTCAGGCACCTTACAGATCCCTACCAGATCCCTTGCAGATCACAGCCAGCCGCAGACCAGACATGATTAAATCAAAAGAATTGATCAAATTCAGTAGCGAAAAATGTAGAATAACAGGTAGTAGATATGATACCACTGGTAATACTTGGCAGAGTCGGCGCTGTTCGGTCAATGACACGAGGCACTTGGAAAATAATCAGACCAGTACAATAGTGACTCGGTACTAAGACTCACCAGCCTAAGAATTCTCTTCGTTGTCGTCTGAGAGTGGAATGGCATCACGGACATCCATAGAGTCGTCATCCGAGGCAACATGGACACGATGGGCCAGAGAGTCTTCACCTACCAGCTTCCACATGCCATCTACAATCTGATCCCACTTTTTATCAGGGAGTTGAGCCGTCTGGAGTGAGTACTGCATAGCAACACTGCCCCATGCCGAATCGAAGGAGACTTTTCTCGTGGGCTGGGAAGGGAGACCGGCACGCTTCACCTCCTTGGCAGCTTCTTTCGCAGAATCACCATCCTTGTACAAAAATAGCGTGCGGTGCACCTGCAAAATGGAGGTTAGTAAGACACTACTAAGCAATGACTTAGGACTCACCGCAGCTGCGCAAACCCCCAATGCACCTGCAGGTTTCCCGAATGCCTGAAATGATGTTCCACAATGCCTCGCATGTGTCGCAAGTAACTCCAGGAGCATGGGAGCCAACCACGATCCTTTCAGACTCTGTTGGACCGTGAGGACGATGACAAATTATAATTGTAAGTCACATGCTGACATACCTGGTGATCCGCGTAAATGAATGGCACACATTTTTGACCTTCTATTTTTTGAGGCAGGCGATCTTGGACATATTTGATCCGAGCATTGGTATCAACTCGGTATTCTGCTTTTTTGAGTTCACGTTCGAGAATCTTCATGGCGTTTTTCCCAAGCATACTCCGCCACTCATTCAGCTGGTCCGTTGCCTCAAAGTCAAAGTTTCATTAGCATTTGAGGCACCCAAACTGACCACTGTACATACCACTTTCTTGATAGCAGGACACTTAGTAATGTCGACCTTGTTGTGGCCAAAGAGAAGATCCCACAATTCCTGCAGCCTGCTAGAGACCTCTGGGTGTTCGTTCGTCCCGAAGGGATCGGTGGTTGTCCCAGCCCAATCGATCAGCGCACAAATTAGTCGGGCCCATATCTCATTATCCTTCTTATCTACAAAAGGTAAGTCTTCGAGCTTTAACTTCTTGAGTGGCTTTGATTTATCTTCTGAGCGCTTGATTTCTTCCACAACAGCATCGTCGGCTCCCTTTTGCATCAACGTCAAGCCCATCTGAACGCAACAGAGTTGTTAGTAAACACTTGTGTAAGCAGTGGTTAAGTACATTAGCAGTGACTCGCGCTGACTTGGTTCCTGCAGTGGCACCGATTTCCTTGGGAAGTTTGAGGTTGCTACCCTTCTTCTCTCGAGTTGCAGCCAGTGACTCTGGTGTTTCATCATGGTCAAACTCTCCGTCTCTGAGTTCGTCGCCTTCAACTGTTGGTGTAGTTGCACTGCTGCATGACGATGTGCCGGACATAGAACAGGAACATGTTGCTGAGGCTGCAGGTACAAGTCCTCCATCTGATACTCTAGTTGAACTGTACCTCACTGATTTTGTTGTCAACCCAACTATTTTCTTCCAATTACCTTGCAAGTTACTCGAATGTGCACCCTTTGCACAGTTTAGTCTGTGATGAACCAGTACTTCGGTGCTCGGTAAGTCAATCAGAAATTTCGGACCATATTGCACACTGACCGTTCAGCTGTGTCAGGTTCCTGTGATTCAGTCTCCTTGTGCTTCCTCGCCATTGATCCTGCTGTTGCTGTGGTCTTCCTTGCCCTCATGATTTCTTCTCATAAGACCCGTTTCTGGATAGGTAAGAGTAGTTGCGCATCTATCGCATAGAATTGCATTTACTCACTTTCTCTTTTGATGCAGTGCCTTTCTTACCCTTCTGAGGCTTACGGACTTCTTCTTCGGCACTACTACTCTCATACTCCTCAGGCTCATGATCCTCGCTGTCATCACCACTCTCTCCCTCCGAGCTTTGGGACTCCGAGTCAGATGGCTGAAAAGCTTCATCTGACTCTGAATCCTCATCATCGCTGCAGCTGGCAGCTGTTTTGGATCAGGTAAGCTCACTATCTCATGTTCGACTGACTCCGACAGTAACCTGACCTTTTCCAACAGCATAGTAACCCTTGGCCGCTGCCTGTGGGCGATAGGAAGGGGTATCTTTGCCATAAGTGCGGTCATCTCTTTTAAGTGAGTCTTCCATTGCGGCAATGTGTTTGATGCCATCTTGATGTTCCTTGGCTACTTTAGCTGCTTCTTCCCGGCTTTTTTCTGCTGCTGCAGCATCTTGGGATCGCTTTTCTGCTGGTGTTTGGCGCTTGATTTTACCTTCAAGTAGAACTTTGGCGGGGTGAGTGTTCACATTGGAGCGACTTGGCCGAGTCATGACTTGAGGATAGTTTTCAAGAAAGCGGAAGGGCGCTGTCAAAAATTTTCCAAGGTTTGTTTCCAGCAAACAAAGTGTCTTACCAATATCTTGCGCCTGATTTATCACTCAGGTCCCTCCCAATAGCATCATGTTGAGCCGGCTGGCGTGTTCATTCCACGGGTGTCCTGAAACCTTCAAATCTCAACGTGGACGGACAAAACACATTCACACCTATCATAGTTCTGTTGATGCCATTCCCAATCCAACCGCTGCTGACTCAAACCCTCATTCTGACTCGGACCCCCAGGAATTCAATTTCAATTCTAACCATGACCTCATCAATGACAACTATTTCAACAATCCCAACTCTCAGCCTGAAGGCCACTCCAATGGACGTCAATCCCAGTACATACCTCACCCACATCTCCGTGGTAAGTCAAATAGAATCATGTGTCCGAACAGATATAAAATTGAACACTCTCTAGGTGACCCTTGCGACCTCAAAGGCAACCCTCTTCCTCCAAACGCCCCAAAGCCTGCTCGCTATGTAGGTCCTCAAGACAGCTGGGCACCCTTTGGTGATCAAGCTGAATACTTACTTGCGGACTTCTTGTTCTGCAAAGAGGAGATGTCCGCCCCCAACATCGATTTTCTGATGGAGTTATGGGCATTCAAAGCGGCCAAGTATGAAGAGGACAGCCCATTCAAATCTCACCGCGATGTATATGCCACAATCGATGTGATCCGCGCAGGTGATGTCCCTTGGCAATGTTTCTCTGTCGCACCTCAACATAACCTCGATTCGGATGTGCCCTGGTGGCAACAGACTGAATATCAAGTATGGTATCAAGATCCTGATGCTGTCATCCAGGCTATGCTGGCGAATCCTGACTTTGCTGGGCAATTTGATTATTCTCCATATGTTCATTATGACCAGTCAGGAAAACATCGTTGGAAGGACTTCATGTCTGGTAACTATGCATGGCGCAAGTCTGTGAGTATCCTGAATTATATCTACACAAATATCTAACTGACACTGTGGACACTTTCAGGACACAATATACGAGAACGACCCATCAACAGAAGGATCCATGTACGTTGGAATCATCCTCGGAAGCGACAAAACAACAGTATCTGTTGCCACCGGTCATGTCGAATATCATCCGCTGTATTTGTCGATTGGAAATCCACACAATTGTGTGAGGCGAGCTCACCATAATGCAGTCACTCCAATTGGCTTTCTTGCCATTCCAAAGGGTGCGTGAAATAGTTCTATTATGTACCCTCCTGACACTATTTTTCAGCTGATCGCAAATACAATAACGATGTTCAATTCCGAACCTTCAAGCGCCAGCTTTATCATTCTTCCCTGGCAGCCATCTTCAAGTCGCTTCAAGGTCCAATGACAAAGCCAATTGTCTGTCGATGCCCCGATGGTCATTTTCGTCGAGTGATCTACAACTTGGCAGCTTTTATTGCGGACTACCCTGAACAAGTCATGCTTTCTGGTATTGTGCAGAATTGGTGTGCAAAGTAAGTCTGCAGATTTGTTTCGATTGTTTGACTGACACTTGGTTACAGGTGCACTGTGCTGCCTGAGGATCTTGATGGGAGCACTGCTGAGTGTCAGTCTCAAGATTATACTGATGTGCTGGTTGAAACTTTCAATTTGGACGTGTTGTGGGATCAGTATGGGATAGATGATGATATTGTGGTAAGTGATGTTTAACTTTTATGTGCGAGTTTGATTTGCAACGGTCCTTTTAGCCCTTTACAAACGATTTTCCACGTGCAGACATCCACGAAATGCTCTTGCCGGACCTCCTTCATCAAGTTATCAAAGGATGCTTCAAGGATCATCTGGTGACTTGGATGGGCGAGTGTCTGAAGGAAGTCCATGGTGAGGCACGTGCTAATGATATCATTGACGATATAGATCACCGGTGTGTCATACTTCTTGCAGCTGCGAGAGTTGTACTGACCCTCTGAGTCTTGACGTGGACTTCGCAGAATTGCTGCTACACCATCATTCCCAGGCCTGTGCAGGTTTCCAGAAGGCCGCTGTTTCAAACAATGGACTGGGGACGACTCGAAGGCATTGATGAAGGTAAATGCTCATCATGTCTTATTCTGTCGCCAATCTAAATGACTCACACTTGTACACTGACAGGTTTACATCCCTGCGATTGTGGAGTATGTTTCTCCCCAGCTGGTTGAGTGCCTCAGTGCATTCCTCAATTTTTGCTACCTCGTACGACGGTCTGAACTTGGAGAAGACTCTTTGGCCAAAATCAAACAGGCCCTACAGCATTTTCATGAGGCTCGCGAGATCTTTTGTGACTCTGGGGTCCGGCCAAATGATTTTGCGCTGCCATGTCAGCATTCAATGGTACACTATATCCATCTTATTCAAGAATTTGGTGCTCCAAACGGCCTATGCTCGTCAATCACCGAGTCTCGCCATATCACAGCGGTGAAGAAGTCATGGTGTCGATCAAATCGGTATGAGGCGCTGGGCCAGATGCTGCTGACAACCAGCGTCTGGACAAACTTGCAGCTGCACATGTCGACTTTGTGGCACGAGGACTTCTACCAGCCTCACATGCACCCCCACCCAGGTGCAGCGTTGATGTTACTATGGGTGAGGGTATCAAGAATGATGCACCAGACATTGAAAGAGTCCAAGGATCAGTCATTTTGGCACGCACACCTCGTACGTCTTTTTTGAGTATGTGAATACATTAATACTAATTACATCTGCAACTATCATCCAGAACGTGGCTATCCTCGGACACTTGAGACCCTTGCAGTGCATCTCCAGCAGCCCAACCTTCCCTTACTTGCTCGCGAGTTCCTTTACAGCCAATTGAACCCTGGAGCAGCTCTGATCGACTGAAATGACTTACCACTGATCGACGGTCCAATTTCTGTGTTCCATTCTGCTGTCGCTACATTCTCAGCACCCAGTGATGTCTCTGGGACCCACGGCATGCATCGTGAAGTGATTCGTTGCACTCCATTGTGGTGTCGCAAGCATGCACGGTATGATTGCGTCTTTGTTGTTGAGGACCAGGAAAAGGCTGGAATGCGAGGGATGATCATCAGGCGGGTCAAACTTTTATTTTCATTTGTGTTTCATAGTGTTACATATTCTTGCGCACTGATTGACAGATTTTCACGCATGGGGAGAGGCCCAGATTCATTAACAGGCATGTGGAAGGTGAAGCCTGAGGTTTCTGGGCAGCGCGGGACTCGTGTTCAGTCTGTCAAGCATGTTGACACAATCCTTCGAAGTGCTCATCTCATCCCTGTCTTTGGCAGTGGTCCCCTCCCAGATGGTTTTCATTTCACTTATTCTCTTGATGTGTTTAATTCTTACTATGTAAATAAGTTTGCAGATCATCATTCACATGAAATTGTATTTTGATTAGCCATACATGATAGTATTTTAAGTTCGCGGCAACTTTTGGACCTGTTGTGATTGTAATCTATGTTCGGCATTGCACCACGCTCTCTCAGCCTTCCAACGTGCATCAACAAGGTCTTGGAGGAAGTCCGCAGGGACGGCAAGGGTTTTGGTTTGAAAATGAGTAGTGGGACTGGGAGATTCTGGTGTTTTTCGCTGTATGGCAAGTGCTGCGAGGTATTCTGGGGCTGTGCCAGTGTGCTGATGTCAAAGATAGGCTAGAGGAGAAATGATGGCTCATACTGTATTCAAAAGGTCCATCGGGATCAGCAGGTATTTTGAGGCGCCGAGATAGACGACGACTAATGAAAAGGGTGTAAGTCTGGTCACCTGGTGGCATGAGAATCTGGTGTGTGACTGACCGTTTTTTTATCTGTGGTGGGCCATCATGGTCCGGTGACTCAGAATTCAGATTGGTAGTAGTACCTTCAGGTTCCTCGGAGTCAAGTTTGATTAGGCTGGGGGGTTCAGAGTGAGAACTAGTAGTATACAAAGTTGTCAACTTAGCACTAGTAGTAGCCTAATAATGAAAAATTTGTCTTGGCTTACCGTTTGACTCGAAAGGGTTTGGGTGTTGTAGGGATTGAATCACGAGTGGGAGAATCAAGTGACATTATGGAAAATGTATGGTACACTGGTGTATGATATGAGTAAGAGGTCTACTACATGTTTTTCCGCTGCTGATGATTGATTTGTCGTGCGTGAGAATGGAATACATACCAGACCTCCAGGATATCCAGGTCGACACCAGGACATCCAGGTGTTGACCAGGTGCTGCCAGGTGCCTGCACATTTGCTGATGGAAGACAGTTTAATATTGATGTATCAAACAGGTCTCAAAGACTATCAATCAATTGGCCCACCGCAAGATAACGAGCAGCCTTCTAATAGCTCACCAGAGGATCGATGGGTATGGAGATTGCAACAATACACAAGTGCGTAAAAGATCACAATCCTATCAGTGAAAGCAAGCAGACTATAGTGTATTTGATTTCATAAATCGCAAAATAAGATACAATGAAATTATAGCGGTACGATCGTGGTGTTTCCCAGGGAGGTGGGCAGAGGAAGAGCAGACTGGAATTGCGGCGAGGTTTCAGTTTTAAAACCCAGGACAGTTAGATCGCATGCTTACTGGATTGGGTCCGGAGGGCCCAGGTACCGCAGATGCAAGGACTCCAGAACTTGGTGTGGAGGATCCAAGTCCCACTGTCACGGCTGATGGTGAGGGAACCAATATGGTTGAACCACCAAGCGATGCAGTCGCCGTCATTGACTGGCCTGCTGAAGAAAGGTCCGCGATGACCTGCACCAAACCGGTTTGGTGCATGGACGACCAATACTCTCTCATGAGTCATATACCCTGAAATACCACTATGAAACCCTTTTCCCTTTTATCTGAAGTTGGACTGAGGCTAAGGGAATATTTTTTGCTTTTCTTTTTATTTTTTTATTTTTTCAAGTCTATATGCCAGCAGCCTGAATATTTTAGTACATTTAATTCTGCAATGAGTTTTGCTTAGTCAGCCATGCTGATGACTCAGACAAAATCCCACACATGTCAGGTGACTGTGAAAAATATTTCCCACATATGTTGTCCTGGAAAAACATTAGTAAACCCCTAAATACTAGGCTTGCGTCATTCTCACCCTTCAAACAAAGCAGAGCAAAGACAGCCACACACAGGATTCATATCATGTGACACTTCTTACTCTCCTTCTGGATTTGTCATCAGGGGTTGGACAGGTCACATGACTTAGCAAATACCCAATGACTCACTATGACTCACTATGACTCACCTTGCACATATGACTCATTATGACTCTTGATGACTCTTGAATACACTAGTAGCACAGCCACATTTATTGTGTATATAATGACCTCAGTTTTTGAAATAATAAAAAGCAGATACCAGCAGGTAGTAGGGTGTTTCTCAGCCCAACTAATACTAAGTTGTGAAGTAAGGTGTGATAAGTGTCAGTACCAGTGTCAAGAACTGTTTCAAGACTGAGAGGAACACTCTCAAGAGACAGTTATACTGCAAGCTCATCATACTGAACGACCCACTGTGAGCTCACTGTGTGCAACAACCAGCAAGCAAGGTACAGCCACACTTTTATTCTGATTTCTATTATTCTTTTTCTTTTCTTTTACTTTCACCAACCTTTGGTGGTCTTTGTCCAGAAATATATTTCCAAAATATTCGTGTTGTCTCTACGTCCACCTAAGACTCAGAAGTAGCATAGTGGGGAGACTTTAGGAATTGATAGTGAAGCTTGACCTCACTCATCTGAGTAGCGATACTGAACCAAGATATTCTGTGCCTGCTAGGCTTTAGCCGTTGAAGAGGGGACTTGGTAGTAAACCCAAGGACGTCCGTTCCTGAGTCTGTTTGAATACTCAAAGAAGAGTTCCTTGACAGCAGGTTCAATATTGAGCTAAGAGTTCTACAATAAAGCATCTGATTAGTCTTGACCTTTGATTCTACCTGTTTTGTGCTGAGGGGGTTTATCATTGTAATTCTGCACCATTTCTTTGGAGTATAGTTGGTACGAGGCACTGTTGTTGAAAGGGAACTTGAGGAAGAATCCCATATATTCTTTTGGTCATTGCCATACTGTCGGGCTGACCATTGTTTGTTTGTTTTCCTGTCAAAGTCCATAGATTGGATTGACCATCATATTACTGATCTTGCAGAAGTATCCTTAGCTGAACATACTTTGGGTAGTATACAACTAGCCACCCATGAACGACCACATTATCAGTCATTGGTATTTGTCTGAATCGCTGACCGTGGAGATATTTGTTTTATAGGTGTTTATCTATAGATCATCTATCTAAGAAGACAGTGAGACTGAGGCCGAGATCATACGAGGCAGTGACATGGTTTTGATTGATATGGAGCCATGGAATTTGGTATCTGCCACTGCCCACCCTATATGGTATTGGTTAGTGACTCCATGCATCCTTGTTATGTGCCAACACTGACCTCGTCGTTACTACACTTTGGATGTCCAAATAGCCCAATGGAATGATGGGCAGGGACGCAAGTGCACCCTTGACTAGCTTAACATTTCCAAACTTTCCACTGTTGACAGTCTGCTTTGGAGGGATTACAAATGAGCTGAATGCCTGGTCTAAATGCGCATAAATTTCTCCATTGATCAAGCCATCAGCCTGCACAAATGAGATCTCGAGTTCAGTATCGAGAGGGTTTGTAACCTTGCACAGTATAAGTTTATATCTAGAGCACGCATGAAATTATACGTACATCGAAGCTGAGATTGATTTCATCAGTTACGAGTGTGGCTAGGGTGATTTCAGGGTATAAGTGGGAGATGATCATATCGACATTCAAGCCTGTGACTTCTATAAGCAATAAAGGGTGGGCAGACGTAATTCTGCTTACCTGTGACACTACTTGTCAAAGTCACGCCTTCAAGTGCCGGCTGGAGTGATGCAAATGGTGTACTCGCAGAATCTCCTTGAATAGTAACTGGAAGGCTATTGCCGGTTTGCAGGAAGCTGGTGAGGAACACCTACGTCACAAAAATCAATAACCAGGTTATAATAAAGTCCATGACAGCAACCTCAGCTATGGTATCATTCAGATTTGCCGTTGTGCTAATGAATAGATTTCTACTGCGACTTTCTAAGTAGTAAGTACTAGGTAAAGTTGGGTGAAAAGTAAGGTAAATAATAGTATGCACTGCTGGCGCTTATATAGCGCGCCTAAGCGCGCTCATGCGGAGCTGAAGCGCTACCGAGTAGGTATGTAAAAATATATATGAGTGAGAAACTATGATAAAAATAAAGGTGGAACTATGCTAATAAAGGAAATGGAAATATACGCACTAGGGAGCTTGGTGGACAGTGGATGGATGCATCTGGATGGCTGGCGCTATAGGGCGCGCAAGCGCGGGAACGCGCGCGCGCGTATACATCGTGAAGCGCGGGAATGGTGCGCGCATGGCGCGCATTGCGCGGGAAAGCTGCGCGTCATATAGGAATCACTGTGGATGGTACACAGAGTGATGCTGCAAGTTGGTGCTGTATACTCCCTAGTGTAAAGCGCCATATCACACTATGAGATGCACGAGTCTCTACACCGGCTCATAATGGAACTCTCCTGGAATTGTATTTTCTCCTGGAACCAAGTTGAAGAGCTAAACGAAAAGTTCAGCTAGGGCTATATCCATGTCAATCATTCACACACATCGAATGCTGCTCAACCAATCATGACATCTTGGTAGTACACTGGCAGGGCGATATCAACCATGTCAAGCGAGATGTTAGACAGGTTGTTCATCGAAGACGTGAGGGGCGAGATGATATATTGATTCCCACCATTCCCACCACTGCCAGAAATCGAGATGTTGGTTATTATTGCCTTACTATCAAAGGAGTTCATGCACTATTACACAAGTTTAGGCAGGAATGGAAGCTAGTTCGTATTGAAACTCACCAGTTAGGCTTGAAGGGACATCAAAAGCATTTCCTGAGATAGGAACATCGCCAATGGCAGTCTTGGCGGTCACATCAGTGGTTCTGCTCAATTCTAGGTCTGCCGAAACCTTGTCCGTCACTTGAGAAAACATGGCTTCAAAGGCGCCGTTGTTGACTGAAGTTAATGGGACATTGTGGAAACTGATTGGCAAGACAGCGAGATTCCCAGTCGATACCCCTCCAATGTTGTCGGATTGAGGAAGGTTTAGCTACAAAAGGGTTAATGACAGCTAGCATGGACCAATAACTAACATTACCTGAGCGGCAGCTGTACCTCCATAGTCAAGGTCCATGTTAATGGTAGACTGAATAACTTGTAATGAGAAACTGAAGGGATTCTTGTATTGTGCCACGGTGTTATTGGAACCTGACAACGGAGAATATGCTTGGTCCTGGCTCTGCATTGTCAAGCTCAAATCCGAGAGTACGATGGATTGGATAATCTATTCATCATTAGTACAAATTTCTCCTGCGTTGTCGATGAACCTACGTCAAACTTCTTTCCAGGCAAAATGACATCGAGTGTGAGAGTCTTAAAGGCGGTACTGAGCCAAGTTACTGGTCCATTTGCACCTGGTGGCTGAACAGTGTCGCCTTGAACATTCAGCATGATATTGTCCGCAGCTAGATATTCTGAGAATAATTTGCTGATAGTACTCAGACCAGAGCCACTTTGAGGTATCATTTGTCCACTGAGGTGGGATGTCACTGACGACTCGGGTGGGAGGATGAGGTCACTAGCGGTAAGTGCTATAAAAGGTATTAGAGAGCAGTTTCAACCATATTGAATTTTCACTCACGTCCAATGTGAGTATTCTCGAAGTAGGCTTGAAATCCAACATTTCCAAGGCCGATGCCAAGTTCTGGGAGAAGAAATTAGAAAGAGAAGGGATAGTAGAAGGAATTGCACAAACGAGCAGGGAAGGAATGACAGTCTGTCGATATCGTAATTCCCCCAGCTGGATCGTCGGAGGGGAGTTGGAAGTTACTGATCGTGACGCCTGGGAGACCATTAAATGCTTTCAAGGTGACCGTTTTTGACATCAAGACTCCATTAAAGATTGTTCCCAGAGCGGTTAACTTGAGGGAGGAAGTAGAAATCGTCCAATCAAAACTTGGATTGTGTAGCAAATATGTCGCAAATGAGGTGAACCTGGTACTTTTATCAACATCTACAAAAGATGCCGCGAATACAATTATGCTCACTGGACTTGGTCGGTGATTACTAGCTGGCCTTGCGTGTTATAATTTGGTACCCTGGTATTCGCGGCAGCACACACTATGGATCACAATGAGTATCCCGTGTGTGATCTATTTGAACGAGCTAACCTGGAGGCAGTGCAATCATTGCAATATCATGGCCTTGCCACATTACCCTGTCTGACATGAGCACTTGCAGATAAAAATTGGGCGAAGACATACGTCACTGGGTCAACAAACTCGATCAGAGCATCTAGAGGGCCAACGTTGGTCAAGGACCCTTGCAAGGAGAGCTGGAAGCCCTCATTTGTGATGTACCTATTCCAACCATCAGTGACCAAATTAGATGTTAAATAAGTGGTTGAAGCATACGTGATGTTTGCTTGGTTGAAAGCTAGTGTAGCACCATTGACAAGGTTTTGGGTAATAGGACCACCCACCGCACCGATCAGATACAATGACGTCTTGTCCATCTGTAATCAATTGAGTGATAAGTGTCGAGGCAAGTAGAAGTTCCAGACTTACAATAGCCAAAACTCCATATTGATTGAAGGCAAGATTTATTGCGTCTAGTGAATCACTGAGCCTACCGAACAACTAACAGTCAAGGCGCTTACAATCATCAAGTTTTATGGAAGAATCTACTGCAAGTGTGACTTGTAAACCTTTCAACGCGTTCAAAATGGCGTCGTCGATGTCGAATTGGTTTCCGCTAGTGTTTTTTACATCAGAAAACTCTAAACCTGGAGAGATGTTGTGATCATACCTGACGCAAGTTGGATTACTTGTATCCACCGACGTATTGACCTTGAAGAGGTCATTGAGGAGCTGGTTGAGAGAAAAACTTTAAACATACAGATGGCTCGGGTTATCAATAACCAGCTGGAATAAACTCGTCAGAGGACCAAGGTCGACACTGTGCTCTTGAGCGGAAGTGGTAATCAACCCAATGATGGTCAACAGGTCAAGGTTGAAGTTGAACGGAAGGACAGGTGACGTAATATTGGAATGTCCATTAGCATGGATTGGGTTTGAAGACAAATCAACATGATTGATAGCACCAAGGGTCAGGTTATGGTAAGTCGCGATTGCAGTGACTTCGAGCAGATTGATGCTGGCCGAGAACGGATTTGCCAAAGTGAAAGTCATTGAGGCCACACCAGTTTGAACGATATCAATTGGAAACTCGAGGGAGGCACTGCCGATAAGGTTCTGATGCAGGGCTGGGATAGTCACTGGTGACAAATTGATCTGTGCGAGAGCTGGTTCCAAAGAGCCAATTGAAGTGGAACTGGAGGTCCCCATAATGGTTGTTTGCAAATCGAGGCCCTGAAGGTAGTTCTCGAGCATCGTTTGTCCTGCTGCTGTTTGCGCAGCTCCTTGAGGGGAGTAATGGACGTCTAATGGATACGATGAGCAAATGTCTACACTCAGAACAAATGACAATACCAGTAGGATAGGATAAATTCCCAGGCTGGGTGATCATGTTGCTCTACAGATGGAAAAGTAAACATCGAAACGGAGGATCTGTGAGATCATGAATACCCACCAAATCGGCAGAACCAATAACTTGATTTCTATTGACAGCCAGTTAGTGCGTATTGCATAAAAATTCTAGAAGATGCTCACTCAAACTGCAATGCAAACGCAACATCGCCAGTACCTGAGAGCAAATGTCAATAGCAACATTCAAATGTACGCTGCCACTCACCGATCGTCAGGTTGCTACGAGCAAGTAAAGATGCATTTATATTGGATTCGTCTTCATAACAGATTTCACGTACCTCGGGTTGAAAAGTGAGGTGTCCACTGTAATCAGCAGGTAATCCGAATATCCGTGGTTGATGTCCAGATTGGCAACGGAGGCAGGTTTCGCCTTGAGCCCTTGCAATCCCACGATCGTAGATTGCACAGAGAACTCGATGTCCACTAGAGACAACACACCAACGGCCGTAGAGGCATCAGTGTTCGCAACACCCGACAGCGTCAACATTTGCAAAGATCCCAGCGTCATAGCAGCCACGAAACTCTGGAAAGTCTCATGCTGCTCAGAATACACAGCAAACAGAACATCGCTAAATGTCAAGTAAATTATACGATTCTGAACGTCAGTCGTGCTGGGGCCCCATGGGATAACCAGTTCAGCAAAAGATTGGCCATCATATCCAGCAGTAATATTCTGCGCAAGCGCCGTGATATCGATTGGGAAAGTGAAAGGCAGAGTGAACGCAGCAGTAGTCAGATTACTGCCTGACATTGGATTGTATGCTGTAGCCTCGGTGAACATGAGAGACAGCTGTTCCAGATTAATCGACTGGATGATGTCAAGTTTTCCTTTGTTCGGTAGCGATGTCACTACTTGAAGGGTTTGTATACCTTCATTTAGCCAAGTGACCTACAGGTGTGATCAGTAGGCACCATTCTGATGACAACAGGTATCATACATCGCTCAGACCAGCACTAGCGCCATAGACGGTGACCTGACTGTCCATGCCATGAATATAGTTGTTGAAAATAGCAGAAACAGTTGCAAGCCCTTCTGAAGAGTTCTGCGGAATGAGCCGACCAACTAGACCAAGTGATGAAGTTGAATTCGGCACTAGCGTAATAGTCAAAGTTGAAGAGACTGGAGCTATCTCAATGCCGTTGGCATAGGTATTGAATGCAATGGAGCTGAGTTCAATGCCAACTTGAGAAGGCTATAATGAATGAGACACGAAAGAGGCATCAATATTGAGCAAGGAAAACATACATTGATGACCTCTGAATCAATCGTCAGATGGATTCCACCAGCAGGGTCGTTGGATGGGAGGTCGAAGGAATTGATAACCACACCATTCTTAAGACCATTGAAACCCTCTAAGGTGACCACTTTGGAAGGAAGAGAGATGCCGGATACTTCGATACCTTGGGGCCTGTCAACAACATAATAACAAGCTTGCGCGAAATTAACACACCAAGGGCATTGACAATGTATCCCCCAAATACTCGTAAGTAACGATGCACTTGTACTCAGCATGAACGTACCAGTCAGGTTATCGCCAGAAATGTCCCATTCAAACAATTCACTATTTAGCATGACCTAGAGACGTTCAGAAAAAAACTGCAATGTATTGAATGATGTTTCTCCCACCTTAGTAAAATTGGCCAAATAAGCTGTGTTGGCAACTTCAAACGTAGTTTGCATGTCGAGAGTAGCTCCGACATCACCGACGACGTTAACGGGATCCATCTTCATCATGCCAATCAGCTGACCGCCCCACGAAACAGTGAGTCCGTTGTTGAACGTGATTGTCGCATCGACTGTCAAAATGAGGTTAAACAAGGATGGACTAAGTGGAATAGAAGGACAGACAAGGCCCGGCGTTCGTGATGCTTCCATTCAATTGTGTCCCTACAAAAATTCCAATAAGATGTGCAGGACATTACACTCTGACACATACCAAACATCGTCTCCTGAGGGTTAGTGATGAGAACAGATTCCACACTACAACACACTTTCAGCGAAAGTTAACTGCAAAATAATCGATGTCAATTACCCCAGGATACTGCCACCAACGACCTTCTGAACGATAGGTTTCGCCAAGATAGGTAAGATTAAGTTAAGGCTGCTGTCCGTAGAAATGGGGACATCAGTCTGAGTGTAACTGAGTGTCGTCGCGTAGTTCCCTGTAACAGTATTGTTGTGAGCAGTCGAAAGCAAATTCACGGTACAATTCGAACCAATTGTAAGCTGTGCAGATAGCTCTATGTCACTCTTTAACTGCTTGAACGCTTGGTCAACAAAATTTGGCAGATTGAATCCCCTGGATAGTCGATTTAATATCAGAAGTAGAAAGAAAACTGTAGAATTTACGTGTACATGTTATCTCTCCGTTGTTGTTGAGGAACTGGCTCAGAGTCCACTGTCGTGGCAGTCACATACCGATAATCCCCAAGAGCTACGATGCCGTCCAGTTGTGTAGGATCCAAGCCTGCCTGCACGGCGAGCACGCGAGTCAGTGTGAAGAGTGTCGGCGGATCATAGTTCATGGTCATGTTGAGAGCTGGAGACTTCGAAGTCGATTTCCCTGCAGAGTTAAAACTCGTCGCGGTGTTAATGGAACCAAGGTGCAAGCCATGCGAGGTGACATTAGATGAGATACTGGTGATGTCAAAGCCTGCGGTGAAAGGATTGACGAGTGCTACAGTGACCTGACTGATGTTATTCGTAACGAAAGTGGTAGGAAGGACTACTCAATCGTTTAAGAGGTTGGTCTGAAAACAAGCAAGCCAACTTACTCTCCAAAGAACCCATCGACAAAAGACTGGAGTTGAGACCAGGGAGTGTGGCAGTGATGTTCATACTTTCAAAAGCCTCCAGAAGAGAAGCGACCTGTGTGCTCCCACTGTAGCCTACGATATTAAGCTCCACGTCTGGCAACCTAATTATTCCCCTCTTAAACGTAAAAATTTAAAACATACCTTGACCGCCAACAAACTGGCTAAGTGTTTGCAATCCTTCGGGTGAGTTGTTAGGCTGTAAATGTGATTAACTGAAAAGTTGTGGGTACAAAGACGGTAGACAGCCGTACATCAAAAGCAGATGTCAAATGAACCGAGTTATTCCCCATGCTCAGTGTCAGATTGGGCATCAGTGCCATTCCGAGGATTGCACCACCGCGTTGCAGTTGGAGCTCTGTGACAATAGATGCATCAATTTCAAATACTTACAATTGGCTGCTACCACTAACGGAGGTCGCCAGTAGCGAGATCAAGATTCGAAGGGTTATAGATGGACACTACAAATGGAATCAGGCACAGTTTAAGGACAGCTAAGAAACCTTCTTACCGTCGATGCTAAGATTAAGGGCCTGCTGGGTCCCGCCAATAACGTCGACAGCCCCAATAGTGATATACCCCTTCAGACCTTGCAGGCCACTGAGGCTGGTCGACACGTTGACCTTGATAGGGTCCAAAGTAATCTGACCAATGCTCATGTTCGCGACCACACGAGAATTGCCAACCAGCAGGAAATTGGTCGTGGTAGAATCTGTGAGTTCCATGTCTGCAGAATATACAATTACCAATCGCACCATTCAAAAACAGTACACTCACTAAATGCGGCAAAACTGTCATGCTCTGCATCTGTAGCGTTCAAAACACTATTTGAAATGGTAATGTTAATGGTGCCCTCAGTGTCTGTCGGGCTCAGCACAGTGATTGAAGATGTTGATGCACCCAGAGGCTGCGCGGTAAGATGGTTACCGGCAAATTGAAAATGAAGTGGGCAATCATACCGTATTCAAACCCGCCACATTCGAACCGTTTTTGACAATTGTAAACTCATTCTGAATCTGGTCGATAGACAACCCAAACCCGAAAGGCAATTCTGTTGCGCCTGAGTCAGACATAATGACAGGACTGCTTTCACACAAATCACTCATGCATGGTCGCATGAACTGAGTTACTATCCGTTTGCGGAGTCCATGCCGTCTCTGGGGTGAACGCGAGCGCCATGCTCCCTATCTTGATAGCTCGAATTGAGTTGATTGGCGTGGTTGACTTGAATGGTACTGTTAGCTGAAGGCTTTCCAAACCCTGGCTAAGCCAAGATATCTGTGAGCCATCTGGCTGCAGTGTTGACTTGCCCATTGCAATTACGGGCGAACTTTCGAGATTGATGTAATTGGTGAAAAGCTACGAGACCGACGCAAGGTTGGTGGGCGTCGTCTGGGGTATCAAAATACCGCTCAGCGTGATGTTGTTAGGACCAGGCACCTGAAGCGAGTTGAGACATAGAAATTGAGAACTTAGAATATACGACCTACAATGTTCGTATTGAGTCCCGTTCCAGTACCAAGGTAGACATTTTGGTACACGAGGTTAAAAACTACTGTTCCCAGCCCCAGTGTGAAAGGGCTATACCAAGTTATCAGGTCAGAATATAATGAAGGCTTTAGGTTGAAGAATACGAATACCTTGTATTGTTCAACTGCGTGACCGCCACAAAATCAATGCCTCCCTCAGGATTGTCGCTGGGTAATTGCATATCCTTGAGAATGACATTTCCAGCAAAATTGTTCGCGCCTCAGAAGAATCCTTGTCAGTTGCATTAAAATCTACGTGAATGAGAGTGCTGCACCATTGATGGTCACCAGCTTATTGAATGAAATACCATGCGCGGTAGGGAACTTCATCGCCTGGACATTCAGATTAGAACTCTGTAATCTCCAAGTGAAATTTTGCGATGTAATCATTGAGCTTGTGAAGCGGCCGAAGGCGTTTTGATCCGTGATGTAAAAGGTCGTCGTATCGTTGATCGTTGCCCGTTTATTGGAAGCATGCAGGGTCGAAAGCGACATATAGCCGAGAGGTACATCAACACTGCCATTTATCCAGCTCACGTTTACTGGCTGCGAGAAGGCCACTGTGGCGGAGAAGATACCAGTATGAGATACCTGAAGTCGATGGTCAACAGATACGGTTGCAATGTAACGCAAATACCTACGACGCCTAGAATTGCTAAAGTGAAGCTGCACGATAAATTAGTGAGCGTGTTTACTGTGTATTACGATGCCCGCTTACGACGTATTTGACGGTGACAATATTGCCGCTTGTTGAATATTCAACGTAGATTGGTTAATCACATACTGAACGATTGTGCGGAGCACAGGGAACAGAACGACGAAAAGCAACGCGATACCCAAACAAGCACCAACGATTGAAGTGACTATAAACCATCTTCGTTTGTACAGATGAGGTCTAGGGGCAGCAGCAGGCAACCTTACTGCATCTGTATCTGCTGGTGGTCGATGCTCTGGTTGAGGAATATCGGCTCCGGTTTGATGTGCAGGGGCATTGATTGTTATTCCAGCCGGAGTGGTACTGGCAAATGGATCAGCGAATAAATCTAACTCCGACTGAGCAACGGCAGAGCCAGCTCCTGAAATTGGGGCAGCATGACCTGTAACGCAGAGTCACGATTATGTCCGACTGAATTATGGCATGACGAGGGTCATGTTACCTCTCAATGACGCAGTTGACCGACCACCAAGAGTGTAGGTGCTGCTGCTGTCGATGTTTTCTTGGTATATTTTTCTCCCCGTTGAGGGTAATTCCTCCATCTGACAAAGGAATGTTGCAAAGCCAGAGGTAAAGAGTGTGTCACTTAAAGACAGTGATGCGTAAAAAGATGCAAAATCGGGCAAGCGGGGATAGTTGGGAACCCCAGACTGGTTGCTTAAAAACGCAGCCAAGACAGTAATACTTCTACTGAGGAAAAGAGCGTTGCGGATCTGGAATGAAACTTGGCAGGGCGTTTTTCCAGGATTAATATTGTCTGCTCTTTAAATTATGACGTGAAGCCGTTGCATATGGCGCGAAGACGTTTTAACGAAGTCACTCCGCGGCTGATTTGATCCCTGCCAAACAGAGGCTATAATGCGCGCATCGCGCGATGGAGGAAAAGAATCTTGATTGGCCATGCTTCCCTCACAACCTAAGGACAACAAGTCCGCTTGCAAATTCTAGTTCAAACGTTTGAAGCAGTTAGTCAATGCTCAACGGGATAGCTGAAGGGCCGAGGAAACAACAGGGTTCTGATCGAGCTAGTAACGGAACATTGAACCTTATGGTTCGGAATCGCGAACAGCAAAACAGATGGGCTGACACGAGTCTTTGGATGTTGGCGAATGAGGTCAATAGCTAAGTCACATCATTATAATCTGCATATACGCACTAGTATGTGCATTCGGACGTCTTAACTGCAGACTGCAGGTCATTCCAGTCGTTTTCACTTCCGAGATTGCACTGGGGAGGCTTGAAGGTTAGGTCAGGTTCAACGTAAGATGGCACATCCGTGGGCGCGATCAGCATCCGACTCATCGGCATAAGTTTCATTTTGGCATGACCTTGCCGGTGCGGCTACCCACGATAACGCCGCAAATACGTAGTACGTACCATAAATATTATTACCCGTACAATTAAGCACGTGACATCTCAGGATCATCCGAATAGTAGCATCTTTATGGAAATTCTGTTCGATTTGCATGTTCAAACGTTCAAACGTCCACAGCCCAACCGCGGTTTTTGGTCTCCATCTCATCCGCAAGTACTTTTTTCGATATCAAATCAGAAGAACGTGCCACCACATGGCTATCGATATCATATAGTTACTATTATCGCAGGACACGAGTGGTCGATCCAGTGGCGACCTCCTACACCGTATAGCAATCATGGGTGCAACATGAGCGTCATTATCATGATCCTTCGAACTTCTTGTACCACAAGTACAAAGTTCGTATCCAAGTGCTGAATTAGGCACATCACCGTTTCACTGCCGCTATTTACAATTCATTGCTTTGCTTCGCGAGAGAACGTGCGTCTTAATCGCCACTGCAGATGATCTACGTTCGTTGTATTGGTTCTTAAAATTCATTGAACTTGAGCTATGCAGGCCATAGGCCTGGCCCTCTCTGGGCGCTGGAACGGGCCCATCAGTGGCTATTCACCGTATTCGCGTATGGCACACTCAGTATGTCTCCAAATATCACCTCATCGCAAGCATACCGCTTACTAGGGGGCCCCTCACTAGTTTCCTAGATGTCTCGACATTCAGACATACAGAAGCAGCAATGTTCCTTTAAATTTATGAATTCAACTGTCTGCCCTAGTGACTGTGCATGTGGTGTTCTTTGTGAGAGCGTTGTACCGGAACACGTAATCATATCAATCCATATATTCACGACAAAGGGTAAGGGTAAATTGGATGAGCATAAAGTTGTCGAAAGGGTAAAGTCAAGTAGCTTCTACAGTCGTGCTTGATCATATTAGCCAACTGTTTTGCGACTTCTCGAGAAATACCACAACCCTTAGTGAGATGAGGGACAAGATCCTTCCTTCTACACTGCGAACTCCCCTTCAACAACCCCTTCAGTTTACGCGTCAACGACACGAACAGATTATCCCCTCCTGACCATGTTCGCTTCTGCTCGTTTGCAGTAAATTTGTCAATAAGGTCGCGGATCGTGACGCGCGATTCTTCATAAAGGTCTCTGTGTCTGCCATCCAGTCTATCGGCGGTGGTGATGCACGCATGTCCAGCGACCTTTATCTGATACTTGTCGAAGGTGCCCTTGTTTCTCTCCCACCAGTCTTCCATCCTATTCTCTCTTTCAAGGTTCGTGATCGCAAGAACAATGGGAATCTTCTTCTCGCAGAGGAATTCGTGAAAGAGCCTGTAATTGTTCTGCAGCGTAGCAGTGACTCTGCCGGCGCGAACGCAGAATAAAAGCAGATCAATGCCACCTTGTTTATCCAATTGTTTGACGAGCTGATAGGCATTCTCGACAAACTCGAGGTACTCTTTGATTCCTAGTTGCGGTGCCTCGAGTCCGATGGTATCATAGACTTTGTAAGACGTGTCGCCAAAGCTAATGTCATACTCTTGCCAGTGCATCGTACAGCGTTGCATGTCAGGAGATGTACGCGCCACCTTCTTTCCCGCCATGAGATTGATGAGTGAGCTTTTGCCTGCTCCTGTATCCCCAAAGAGCACGATACTTTGACGCTTGGTCCTCCTAATCAAGTTAAACAACCATGGTTCGAGGAGCATCTAAAGATTGTGTACCTTGCGCTTATTTTTGGAGGGATAGAGTATTCTCTAATTTTCAGAGGCGGGTCCTCAGAGCGTAAGAATACCTCGGAAGTCCTGTCATCCAAGTCGATGGTTCCTGAACATTGCAACATACGGCGTTGCATGTCAGGACCTCTGGGCGTTACCTCCTTTCTCGTCATCAGGTTGACAGGTGAGCTTTTACCTGTTCTCGTCTGCCAAAAGAGCGTGACGATTTTATGGTCATTCCTGGTCAAATTAGACAAATACGGAACGAAGAGCAACTGAAAACTGCACACCTTGCACCCATGTTTCGAGGGATGTGGTATCCTCTGATTCTCAGATGCGGATCTTCAAAACGTGAGAACACCTTGAAAGTTTTGTTATCCAAGTTGACAGGTTCTGAACATTGAATATGGTGTAGCATATTAGGCGTGAATGCTGCCGGCTCTCCCGTCGCGAGGTTGATGAGTGACCTGTTTCCTCTTCCCGTCTGCCAAAAGAGCACGACGAGTTCATGCTTCTTCCTACTGTTCAAATTAGACAAATTATAGTACCAAGATCATCTAAAGACTCCGCACCTTGCATATAGTTCGGGAGGGACAAGGTACCCTATGATGGCCGAACGCAGGTGCTCGAGTCGAAAAATTTCGACAGAAGTCTCGTCGACGGCCTCTGTGCACTGCAGCAGATGGCATCGCATGTCAGGAGCTGGGCGCGCTACCTTCTCTCTCGCCAAAATGTTGACGAGTGAGCTTTTGTTTGCTCCAGTCTGTCGAAAGAGCACCATGATCGTATGCTTGTTCCTACTTATGAAGTCAGACAGCTGCGGCACAAAGGGCACCTGAAGACTACACACCTTGTATATATATTGGGAGGGATAAGGAACGCTGTGATTTCCATATGCAAGTCTTTGCGTCGAGGAAAGAACAGGATACTTGGAATCTGGTTCCTACAATCAAATTGGAATGTGGTACGAGGAGAATCTGAAGACTGTGCACCTTGTACCCATTTTGGGAGCGATAGAGGTATATCCTCTGGCTCTAAGAGGCAGGTTCAAAAGGCGTAAGAATACCTTGAAAGTCTTGTCATCCAAGTAGACGGTCCTTGACCATTGCAGTAAATGGCGTCGCACATCAGGAGCTGTGCGTACTACTACATCTCCCGCCATGAGGTTGACGAGAGAACCATTGCTTGCTGTTGTCTTCCTAGCGAGTATAACATCATTCTTCCTACTCATTAATGTTGGTTGTCTGAGTCCCAGATGTGGATCCTCAAGTCGTATAGTTTCGGACGCCTCGGAAGTCTCGTCATCCGAGTTGACAATGTCTGAACATTGCAACATACGGCATTCCATGTTAGGAGCTGTGGGAGCTACCCCACCTCCCACTACGAGGTTGGCGCGCGAACTATTGCTTTCCGCTATCTCCCTCGGGAGTACGACATCATTGTTCCTACTCGTCAAAGTTAGCAAAACATGACACAAGGAAGATATGAAGAATACGCACTCATCATCGATGTCGGAAGTGATGGGGTACTCCTTGATTCCAATATGCGGGTCCTCGAGTCGAATGGTTTCGATCGCCTGGAAGGTCTTGTCGTCCGGGTCGACAGTCTCTGAACATTGCAGCATACGGCGCTGCATGTCAGGAGCTGTGGGCGCTACCTCATCTCCCGCCATGACGTTGACGTGCGAACCAACGCTTGCGTCCGTCTCCTCAGCAAGTATGCTATTTTTATCATCGTCACTGTTCATGAATGTTGGAGAGATACGGCGCAAGAAGTATCTCATGACTACACACCTTGTACCCATTTCGGGAGGGATAGAATACTCTTTGATTTCCAGATGCGGGTCCTTGAGCCGGATGGTTTCGAACGCCTTGAGAATCTCGTCATGCAGGTCAACAGTTGCTGTATACTGTAATGTACAGAGTCGTAAGTCAGGAGCTGTCGACACTATCTCCTCCGCCACGGCGTGGTGAACGAGTGAACCAGCGCTTGCCGCCGTCTCCCCAGCGAGTACGATATCTTTATGCTTTTTCCTGCTTATCGACATTGGTAAAATATGGGTACGAGGGGTTTTCCCATTTCGGCCGACATCAGACAGTGGTGTTTGAACCCTTTGCGACAGGCGACACTGTTCGATAAGTTGACAGATGGCGTGGTATGATTGTGTTCGGCGCCGCTTGAGCTCATCCCCAGCATATCTGTCAATAGTCGCTGTGGTAATACATGCGTGACCAGCAAAGGTCATCCCGAAGTCTGAGATGGATCGCACGTTATCCCTCCACCATTCTTCCATTTCTGGTCTTTTGTCTTCTAAACTTGTGGCGACAAGAACGATTGGAACTCTCTCCTTCACTTCAGAGTGGATTAAATTGTAGCTGCGGCAAGCCGCCTTCGTCACTCTCACACCCCGCACACAGTACATGAGGAGATGAATGTCGGTTTGCTTCATCAGATCTCGAAGGAGCTTCTTCAGAATCCTCCGAGCATCCTTGTCGGGGACTG